ATTGGTCTCGATTATCCTGACCTGACCTGGAGTAGTTAAAAGGAGTTACATCCCGCAACAGTACTTTGAGAAAACCAGGCATGATATTTTTGAAGTGCATTAGGAAAACACTGCATCTAACAAAATACAGGAGTCTAAGGTGAGTGTAGGTTTTGTAGTTGGAGTAAGTAGTTAGTTACTGAGCTCACGCTGCATTAGAGTATAAACAGAACACAAACAAGCATAAATTAACTTACGGGTGAGTCAACACCGCGCCAGAGGTTCAGACAGAACACAAACATACATAAAAAACATAAAAAACATAAAGTAACTTATGGGTGAGCGAACACCGCGCCAGAGGTTCAGACAGAACACAAACATACATAAAGAACATAAAGTAACTTACGGGTGAGCGAACACCGCGCCAGAGTTTCAGACAGAACACAAACATACATATAATGTAAATTACAGGTGAGCTAATACAGTAACTAAGGCACCTCCAACTATATGAAAAAAAAAAAAAAAAAAAAAAAAAACTATAGGCATGACTGATATTAGATAGTACTGATGACAGGAAGAACACTACTTTCAGCCTTTGCTTAGAAAGCAAATCCTGCAAGGCTGCAGAACATGGAACAGGTTGCACTGGGTTACATGTTACCAGTAGCACGATGATCATGAAGACATACTCCTTACCTGACAGAAATTGACAATAATTGGTGACTACCATTTCTCATTGAAAATATAATAAATATGAGTCGCAGAAGTCTAATATTTTACATGAAATACTCGCAAGCAATTTATTTTCATAAATAAACTACATGAAATTGACAAATTCACAACATCTGTGCGTGACTTCCGTGCGTGATCATTCATAAACTGCATTTAAACGATTGCTGTGACTCTATGATTCATAGTGCAAACCTGTAACTTTCTGGAAATCTTTACTGTTTAAAATTTTATTTAAAAAAAAAGTATACCGGTGAAACTTATATTTTCAGAGGAATTAAAGTTTATTTATCTAGTAACTAAAATAAAAGTTTTTCTGTTCCATGCGTGATTCCATTTCAAACTTTATTTATTCTTTGTTAACATTACTAGTGCTTACTATTTTTTGTTTACAAGATGTTTATATTGATTAGAATTAAATAAGAGTAAATTGGAGATCGCTAGTTTTATTTTTATGAAAATAAAAGTAAAAACATATACGAGTTTCTGTGTATTTTTCGGAAATGCCCATATATATATATATATATATATATATATATATATATATATATATATATATATTTGTTTATATATACATACATATGTATATATTGCATATATGCTCTAACATTTAACTTTTTTTAAAGACAAATGAAGACAATAAACTAATTTAATATTATTTAGAAGACAGTAGATTAATTTAGAAAAAAATAAATTTAGTAAAAGATGTTATTAGCAAAGTTAGATCAGGTTATCCATATAAAATGATAACAGTTAGGTAATAACTTTATTGTTAAAGCTTTGTGAAGTTTTAAATATAGGTTTATATTAGATATAAAGATAAGAATGTTTTGATAATGAAACAATTTTTATGAGGTTTTAGCTATAAGATAATGTATGTTTAATATAATGATACAATAAAAAAATAATTTATTGACTTATAGACATTTTAAACATCATGATAAAATTTTTCTATGTATGGAATACTGTTGTTATATTTGGACTGGTTCTTCTAAGTATGGCTTTTCTCTTCTTGAAAAAAAGTCCAAAAATGTTTTGTAAATGTAGTTTGACCTGCTTTATCTGTCAAGCTTGAGTCATTGTTTTATTGTTATAAGGTTGCAGCTCTTTCTTTTTTCAGGGGCTATTATAGCCCCTGTTCAAATGATTTAAAAAAAATTAAATCAATAATTTCACTAATTTTTTCTTATTTGAAAAATATTGATACAGTCAAATTATAAATTAAATTGTTCAAGAAATTTTGTATGAAAATTGAAAATACAAGTTTTACATATTTAAAAAAAAATTGTAACATTTAGTATTGATAAAAAGGTATTCAATTAGATTAAGGTCGTAATTATCTGCATCACCAGACTAAAACCTGCTTTTTTTAACATATACTTAGGTAGTTACCATTTAGAAAAAATTTCATGCAACTTGGGTTTACACCATCAAGAAGAATCCCATGGAACTGGTTTTGATCTATAATGCCAATAATCTTGTGAGTTGTTCCTGTATGCACAGAAAAATGTATTACTAAATAGTAATTCATTTTTGGTGTTAGGTTAGACCTATAATCACTATTATTACCTTGCTAATGGTAACATGTAATCCAATACAATCTATTGCATATCCTTCTGCCCTGTAGAATTTGCTTTCAAAGAACACTAGAGGGGTGAACTTCCTGGTCTTTGAGCAACCCCCTTCCTCCTCATACATGTGTACATATTTTTTAAAAGTTGAGCAACGGTAATAACCACAATTAAGTAGCCTCCCTGACTGTAGTGTCCTTCTCGATCTTAAGCAGGTAAATTTAAGAAAAAAGAGAAAGATTTTGTATTCTTTTTGAATCTCTAATGTAGTGTTAGCTCAGTTACCAACTAACAATTAAAAAGTTTAAATATATATATTAACTAATATTTACCTTATATATAAGTATTACTATAAATATTTTTCTTAATGCATTTCCACTGCTTACATAAGTAACTTATTCTAACTACTCTAGGTCAGTTCAAGTTCAGGATCATCACAATCACCCATCTACTAGTAACATGTAATCCAGTACTACCAGATCCATGTTCTGCTGCCATGTAAGATTCACTTTTCTAATTAACTCTGTGTTATGGTTCTTTGTTGAGTAAAGGCTAGAGATGGTGTCTTGATAAAAACACTCATCTTTGGTAAATGTTAACCGCACCCAGCTACTGTCTTGTAAAAGGTCTTCTAGGCAAATACATTAGGAGTAAGCAAAATAATTTTAACCCTTTATTTATTAGGCTGACATAATTTTAAATTTGTTTTACTTTTTTTTCCTGCCATAGATGATAATGCTGGATCTTTTTGACTCCACTTATGGATTTTTGCTTGTATAGTGGTTATGTAATTTTTCCTGTTATCTCCAAAAAAGGGTTTTGCTCTAAAACTTAGTTTAAAAACTTAGTTTTTGTTGTTGTTACTAGTGACTTAATTGGTCATTGCAATGAATGGCTTAGTTCCAATAAAGAATCACTTTGTGGCTTTTTTTCCTGACAATCCTAGTCACTTACCTTCACTGCTTGATTTATAACTTAACTTAGCTTGTGTTCAGTTTCTCCTTTAGATGGTTCCAAACATACATTATTCTCTGTAAATTTTTTATCTCTTACTTTTTCAAACTCACCCTATCATTGTACTATTTACGACTATTCCAAAGCTGACTTTTTGTAAAAATCACTAAAATTGTTTTCATGATTTTCATTATGATGATCTTCGGATTGATATCTTTTCTCACTTGGCTAACAAATGTGTCTCCTACATAACCACCTGTATCCTGACAGGTATAAAAGTTTTTATTCCTTGTCTATTTGAAGACATTCAAATGTCTTCAAATAGACAACCTTGAATGACACCTTGTCCTTCTATTCATGGTTTTTATTTTCTTATACAGCTCCTATATCATAATCATTAGGTTCTATCCTTAGTCCTGTACAGTTTTTGATCCTTAATAATGATCTTCCTTGCAATATAATATCTAAAGTGGCTCTCTTTGCTGACAAAACAATTCTATACCTCCTATATTGATAAAAAGTTATTCCTTTTTGATTGCCTAGAACATGAAGTGAATCTTAAAAATGATCTCTCCTCTGTAACACCATAAGACTTGTAGAGGTTTTTGAATTTTAATTCTAACAAACCTCAGTTATTTGCTGCAAACATCTATGGCAATATTGTTGACATTTCTATATCTCATATTCATGACATTTCTATATCTCAACTCGTTTCTCCGCGCAGCGGCCTTGTTCGTCAGGGTTCGTGTTTCGGAGTTAAAGAGTTGAGAGAGGGTTATAGCCACAAATAAGTAGCCTCCTCGTCTGTAGTGGCCTTCTCGGCCTTGAGGAGGTGAATTAAAATAAAAAAAAAAAAAAAAAAAAAAAAAATATAGATGAATGGTAATCCTCTCACTAAGTCATCTACTTGACTTTTTGAATTATCATTCACTACTAACATCTCATAGAAATCATATATACAATCTATTGCTAAAGTAGCATCTGCTAAGCTTCTCTTTATCATGCTTACCATTTTCTTACTCCTGATTCCATTCACTACCTCTACAAATCTATCATTTGTCCCTGTTTGGAATACTGTTGTCATTTTTGGTTTCGTTCTTCTAATGATACTCTTTCTCTTTTAGTCAAGGTTAAAAAAGTCACTGTAAATGTAGCTGGACCTGTTCTATCTACTAAGCCACTCTTGCATTGTTGTAAGGTCTCTTTCTCTTTTCTACATTGGTATCATGGTCACTGATCAAAAAAGATATTATCTCTTGTTCCATTGACTAAAACTCATTCTTGCTTGATTTGTCATTCAGCAAAGTTGCATCCTTTTACTGTGTATGATCCTTTATTCTCTATAAACTTTTTATTCAGTTTGTTTTTATTCATTTTGCTTCATCAATTATTTGGAAATCTCTCCTATCTCCAATTTTTTCTGGCTCATACCTGCTACTTTTGAAGTCTTCTATCAACCATTTCCTTGCTCTTTAACACAATTTTTTTCTTCTAGTAAGTCTTAACATAATAGTGGTTGTTTGCAGCCTTGTTCTGAGTGAATTTGTTTAATAATAATTATAAAAACATGTTCATAATTACCATTACTTACCACTTTTTAAAATTATTCTCAAAATAAAAAAAAAACAGCAGTTGCATTATGGTGGTCAGTTGCCATAAATAACACTCTTTTCTATACACATTTTTAGTTTTCATTAAGAGACTTAAATGATGAGAGAAATAATAGATCTCAATAATAGATATCTAAAGTATTTTATTTTTAATTAGATATGATGACGGAGATGATGCTGAAGAAGATGATTTTGAAGAACCCGATAACGACCAGGCAAGATTGTTATTTTGTTATTGTTATTACATATACATAAATGTAAATGCTAATGTAAAAAGCTGGATAAAGCAAAAATAAGCTTTTATTGAGACTATTTAATTTTTATATATAAATAATATTTATAAATAAGCTTTTATTGGGACTATTCAAATATACAAATATATTTTTTATCAATTATACCAAATATTTCAAAATATTTTTATGTTTGTAATTATTTGTATATCTTAATTACTTGTGTAATTTATTGATTTTTGTAATATATTTGTGTAACTTATTTACTTGTGTACAACTCATGTAAAACTACTCATGTAAACTTTTAAATGCGATTTTTAGCCAGATGACTTGCCAGAAGTAGATATTCTTCCATCTACAGGTACAGTTTTAATTATGTTTCTCTGCTTACAAATTATAAAATCTTAATTGACATACTACAGCACATAATTGTTAATGCATTAATTAGAATATTTAAACTATTTACTTAATTTACTAGTTTTTATATATTATGTTAAAGCATGTGGTTGTAATTAGTATGTTTTGAATCTCAGTTTTTATATCTTATGCTAATAATTTGAATTAATGATTTTACTAAGTAAACAAGAATCATTTGTGGAGAACTTAATCTTTTCTTGTTGTTACAAGATTTTGTAATGAAATTTTAGGATGGGACTTTGTATGTTACAATTGCATGTATGTATGTTACAATTGTATGCATATTGTATGTATATAATACAAGGCTCAATTTAATTTTTTATAAATTCCCGAACAAAATGTCCGATCAAAACTTGTTAATTTTTAAATAATTTTTATGGTTTTACGGAACCAAGTAATGCAATCAAAATCTTTGTCATGTTATTAAGTTATTTAACGTTAGTTATTTTAAATATTTTATCGCACACATTTGCTTTTTTTTAAATAAATAGTTCCAATTTAATATTGTATGTTTTTTTAAATAAACTTAAATTTCCATGATGTAACTGACAATGCTCATTTTTTTATTCTTTACACCTTGACAACGGCTGTTTTAATGTTTTAAATTATTAAATGCAACAACAAAAAAATCGTTATGTTACAAATAACTTTTAATCGTTGGTCTTTTTTTAAGTTTTTATTTTATGTGAAAGCGTAAAATGAAAACTTTAAAAAACTTTAAACAAAATCAAAACTTTTGAAAATTTTAAATAAAATCAAAAATTATAATTTAAAATAAACGCCTTATGTGTAAATTAAATATTATATTTAATTTTGTTATCATGTATCTATTTTTTATGCTAAATTTAAACGTTTGAAACTATTTTTAAGATAGTAATAAATTTAAACAATTGAAACTATTTTTAAAATAGTTTCAAACATTTAAATTTATCATGGAAAGTCTTTCTAAAATTTTTTTATTAAAAGATTATTATTTTTTTTTCTTTTAAGTTACTTTGAATTATAAGTTGAATTAAATCTTCCCATTTAATTGCCTTTTTTTTTTGTTTCTATTTTTACAAAGAATTGTTTAAAAGTTTTTTTTTTTTTTTTTTTTTTAAACTTGACTTTTAATCAAAGAATGAAATGATTAAAATTACAATTTTAAAAAGAAAACTTTGTTTTTTTAAACAATTTTTTTTTTGCAATTTATTAAAAAAAATTTTAAACAACTTAAAAGTATTATATTTTTTTCTTTCCAATAATTTAAATAAAATTTGTTTATTTATTAAACAATTAATAGAAGTAATTTGTTAAAGCGTAGCTTTAATAAAATTTTTTAAAAGATAAGTTTTAAAGAAATTTATTTCAAACGCAATTAAAAACGTAACAAAAAGTAATTTTAACTTCGAGTTTTTTGAGTTTTATTTTAAAAAGCTTTTAATTTATTTTTAATTTAATTTACTTTCAATTTTTATAAATATAATAAAGTATTTATTTTATAGAATTTTAATTTCTATTGGTCAAAGTGTCTGATTACTTAGTTAATTGGTTGGACAATTTGAGGTTTTATTACTTTATAAATTTGAGCCAGACAATGTCCGATGTCCGAATGTCCGACCGTTAAATTGAGTTCTAATAATACAGGCTTGGCCAGGAAGGTGTGCGATTTCACGTCATAATATGACCACACAAATACTATTTGATTTTACTTTACTTGACCACGGCTGTTAAAATGTTTTGAAAGTTTGTATACATATTGAAAACGCACTAAAAAAATTTAAATAAATCTTAAATATAAAGCAACTTCAAAAAAATTACGTTTGGAATAAAAACTTTAAAATATTTATCTTTACTTATGTTTTTATAATATAATATTTTGTGAAACCCTTTTTAAATAAAGTTCCAACTTACAACTGACGATTAATTAATAAACGTGCACATAAATGTGCACGAAGAATTGCACATAAATGTGCACGAAGAATTGTTAAGAATATCTTTTTAAAGGGATCCCAAACTCCCGACACATGTTGTGTTCATATTAAAGATAATGTTAAAAAAAAGGTTTGAACCAAGTTTTTTTGATTAAAAATAAATAATGAATGCTTACCGTGAAAAACAAATGTTGTTGTTTTTGCCGAAGCTCATCTTCTCCATTTTTTTCAATAAATCGGAGTCTTCAAATTATGCGTCGCAATCTACAGACTTTGGCAATTCCTTTGAAGCGCGATTAATTCATAAAAGTTTTAGTATTTGACGTCACTTAGACTTTTAACAAAAGAAACTCTGGAAATATTTTTATTTATTTTTAGTCGAAGTTTTTTTGGTTATTTGTTTAGTTTTTTTTTTTCTACTTTTAATATTTAAAAAGATATTAAAAACCTCAAATATTTTATGCTGGTTCGTTGCTATAAATTGTTATTGCGCTATATATTTAATGTTTATAAATTATGAATATTTATTATCTCAATCAAGACTCTGATAAAAAAATGTTTATTAACATTAATTACTGGTATAAAATTAGTAAAAGCATTTTTATTTGGTTAGATAACATTTCGTCTCAATTTGCTTTGGATGAAGTTCAAGAAGTCAAGCGAAAAAAATTAGTTTGAATAATTATTTGAAATATAATCGAAACAAAATATATTAATGACGGGGGTTTAAAAATTTTTTATAACAAATATAGGCAAAAAATAAATAATTAAATAAAAAGTTCAACATTAAACCTTATTTCTTTATTATATTGCAACTGTAAATATTGAAATATTAACTTGAACTAAATTTAGTTATTATTTAGAACGACTAAGCAATAAAAATAAAAAGCCCCTAAAGTTATGCGATATTGTGTTGTTTATTTGATAAATGCTGTTGGTAATGTTGTTTATGTTGATTATTTTCATTAATATCAAAATAGTATCAGATTAATCTGTTAGTTGCTTTGTTCATTGTTGCTTTAATTCTAATTTAATTTTATCTCTAAGTATAAATTTATGTTAAGAAAGAAAAGTTTTTATTTCATCGCTCGCTCTTTTTATAAGAGTAGAACAAAAAAAGAAAAAAGTTTCGCGTAGTTAAACTTCGAAAGAATAAAAGAGTTGTATAGAATTTTTTATTTTTTTATTTTTACGTCACTCGTTCTTTTTTTAGATGAGAGAAATAATAGTTTAATAGTAACTTTTCTTTGAATAAATGAAAATTGGAAGAGAAAATTGCTTGAAAATTTGTATTTGTTGTGTTTTAAAATTTTTCATGCTAAGAGACAAATGCCAAATACGATACAAATTGGGAAATACCTAATATAATAGGTTTTTTAACGCGCGTTATGACATTTTGACAATTTAAATTACCATTTATCTTGAATTATTGCCATTAATTAATGTGTTAATTATTGCGTTATACAAAAACAATTTGTCCGTATTTTTGTTAAATATTAGTTGTATAAAACGGGCAAAAATATACAAACTTCATGTTTTTATTTGATGGTTATAAAATATTGAACAGTAAACTAATACTCAAAATTTATAATGCCGATTTGTGTTGTTATTAATTGTACTTTTAATGCAAAACCAAGATCTCACAAATCCTTTCACGAATTTGCATATCTGATACTACTGTCAACTGTATTGTTTAGTGTATTCTTGAATTTTTTCATAACCTTAACAGGTTCTAATTGGTAGGGAGTTGCCAACATTTTAAAAGTTTCATTATCAAAAAACAAATGTAAAATAAAATTATATTTCCTTTTTATCCGTATCCAATTTAGCAAATTTAGCAATTTAAAATAAATCAGCGTAATCAAAAAAATTTTATAATAAAAAAAAGTTAACAATTCATCATATATCACTAATTAATACTGTCAGTTTATGAAATTAATTGTTAATACATTTTTTCGAGGGGAAAAGAAAAAATATCATAGCGTAAAAATAACCAGAGAAGTTAGAAAAAAGTTCTGATTGTTTAAATAAAAATAAGTAAGATTCAGAATATATAATACTGCGCTCTTTAGCACAAAACTGAGAGACCGTATACATAACGTTCTGTATAATGTAAAACACTCGTATGAAAATCATAAGATTCGTAAGTAAAGCTTTAATATTTGTTTTAATTTAAAAACAAAAGAAATATAAGTAAGATATATAAATCGAAAAATTATTAAGATATCTGTAAGAAACAAGTTGCTCCTATAAAATAAAAATAATTTATCATTTTTTCTTTTTACAAATTTTTTTTTGCGATGTTTAGAAAAATAATACAAATAAATTTGTTTTGCTGTATATTAAAAAAATACTGCATTAGAAAAACGCAGCTTAGTTTAATTAAACTTTTCTTTTGTTAAAAGTCTACCGTGACGTCAAATACTAAAACTTTTATGAATTAAACGCGCTTCAAAGGAATTGCCAAAGTCTGTATATTGCGACGCATAATTTGAAGACTTCGATTTATTGAAAAAAATGGAGAAGGCAAGCTTCGGCAAAAACAACAACATTTGTTTTTCACGGTATGCATTCATTATTTATTTATAATCAAGAAAACTTGGTTCAAACCTTTTTTTTTAACATTATCTTTAATATAAGTTTGGGATCCCTTTAAACTTTCAAATTTGAAAGTTTAAAAAAATGTTCTTAACAATTCTTCGCACAAAAGAAAAAATTGTTAAATCGTTTTATTTAAAAAATTGATAATTTTTTTTTTAATTTAAAAACATTTATAATAAAAAAGAAATAATAATATAAATATTAAAAAAATATATTTTTTTCATTAGAGCTTTTATAAAAAATCATTAGAAGTCATTTGTTACTTTATGTACTTATGTTCCTTTAAATACGCTACTTTATTTAAATTTTTTGTCGTTGCTTATAATATTTAATTTTTTTTTTAATTTTTTCTTTTTTAATTTTTCCTTATAAAAAATCTTATATAATTAAATAATATAAATAAAAAATTATACAACTTTAAATGATACTTTAATTTAAAAGCTAATATAAAAACGTTAATAAAGATAAACGTGTCAAGTAAATTCTTTGAAATGTAGTTAAAAACCAATTCTTTCAGCGCATTTAATAAAAACCGTGGTTAATTCATCAAAACAAAATATTATTTGCGTGGTCATATAAAGACTTGAAATCGCAGGCCTTCCTGGCCAAGCCATTATTATATAATGTTTTATATTTGACAACTTGACCAGAATTATATTTTGATTCAATCATTTAGGAAATGTGCTGGATGAAATTGTTTTAAAGTCCTTAGAAATAACTTTGAATTTTTTATATTATGCAAATGTTTAAAATAAAATAATAATTAAGATAGAGCAGGCTAGTGAGCATAGGGGCTAGTTGAGTTGGTCAGGTTGGTCAAATAAACTATCTTAAAAACTATGCCTCACATGACAAAACATCTAGCAGATGAAAGTTAAGGAATTAGAATGTTAACACAATGCACAGAAAGATTGTTGGAAAGCAGTTGAGTAAGATACTCTGGAGGTTTTTCTATTTGGACTAAAAAAGTTGAGAAATTTTTTTTTTGCTATTTTTCTCTTAGGTGCTTATAAATTTTTTATCTGCCATCATTTAAGTGGTAATATTTTAACAATTTATTGGGCTTTCGATTAAGATCAGCTGTTTTTCCTGTCTTACTGTTCTCTTTAAAACCTAACTAATGTGTCTCCTTGTCAAGTAGGGGTTGAGCACCTTTGAAAAATAAATAAAACTAAACTATTGAACACAAAGAAAAATTTTGATGAAAAATAATTTTACTGTGCATTATTTATATATATTTTAAAAATTAATAATTTTTAAATTGAGCTTTAAAGTTCAAGATATCATTAAAGTATATAAAGTATAAATTATACACATGCTTACTGTTAGTAAAAATTTGTCAATGATTCACCCATGTTTCATTTCATGCATATCCATTCATTTGTTGATTGCTCAACCTAATATTTTATCAAACTAATGATGTTGTTTGCACAGAACTATGTTGTCATTTGTATAATCTTATCAGAATTGGTTGCTATTAACTGTATATGAATCCTGTCAGATTAAGCCACAAGAGTTTTACACAAAGGTGAATAATTTGCCTAACTTTTGAAGGTGTTTTTATGTTGTTGCAAGATCAACAGATTGTATCTTTATTGAAATTGATAGTGTGCTGAATACATATTTAATACCTGTACCTCTTGCTTCTGAGCCAGAACCAAGAAGTTAGAATTTCCATACTAGCTAACCACTTTATTATGGCTGTTTAAAGAAGTGCTAGAAGCTAGTGATAGACTAGTAGATAATAACATTTAATTCGCTGCTAATTGGTACTGTGAAATAAATACACATGTCATATTGGTTAGAATATTTTTTGTTTAGAAATGAATTTAAAATAGTGTGTTAAAAAACTGTCCAAAATTTGCTGTGTAGCCCTGAAAAGGACAACACACCAAGGAAAAGGAAACCTCTGATATTCACCTCCACATTTATTTATGTAGGAAAGGCAGGAGGAGCTCATAAAGATGGTTATTGGATTACTATAAAATCATTATGATTACAGTAATCCTAATGATTTAATATAAGGCTAAAGTTTTGTATAAAAAAGAAAAATAAATCAACCCTGTTTTTTTGTACATTTTTTCTAGACTATTCTGCATATGTTAAGCTTTTTTTTTTTTTTTTTTTTTTTTTGCAATCATTTTAATAAAAAACAATTTTTTTTTGTTAATATAAATTTAAATTTTATAAGTTATTTTTTATCCTTTTTTTTATCAACTGTCGAACAACTTATGAATAAAATTATTATGATTTTAGAAGCTTCTCAACAACAAAAGAAGAGGGTAACAACACCTTATATGACAAAGTATGAAAGAGCCAGGGTTTTAGGAACCAGAGCATTACAAATAAGGTTATAAAAGCTAAAGTATATATAGTTTCAACTTTTTAAATACTTTTTTCATATATATGGAAGTACCTGTAAAAACCTTGAAAAGCTATTTTAAAAATTTGAGAAAATTTTTGAAAAAAACCAAGAGAATTTATTCAGGGTTTAATGGTTTTAAAAAACCCAACGAATTTTATTAAAAATGTAAAACTCTAAAATTTGTGCAAAAAAAAAAAAAAAAATTATATATATATATATATATATATATATATATATATATATATATATATATATATATATATATATATATATATATATATATTTAGCCTGTTTTTCTTATTATTTTAATTTTCAAATAGCATGTTTTTCAAGTTTCTGTGTTATTGTTTGTGGATTATTGTGTTAATGTTTGTAACAAACATCATCACAGAAATCTTGTTTATATCAAGTCAGAATTTCTCTGTGGTTAATTACTATTTTATATGTTTTATTTTATGTGTACTAATATTTGATTTACAGCATGAATGCACCAGTAATGGTAGAGTTAGAGGGAGAAACAGATCCTTTACAAATAGCAATGAAAGAATTAAAGTTAGTATAGTTGCACTAATTTTAGTTTTTTGTTTCAGTTATTTAAATCATTTTAATAAATTCATTGATTTTTCTGATATCTGGGAATTTAGAGACTGTTCTTTTTTATTTTTAAATTTCAGTTTTTAAATCCTAAAATACTTATGTAATGCTATTTATGTAAAAATTGCATTTCTCACTTCTTTTTTTTTTGTTTCACATCTTCCTTAATATTTTTCAAATATTTGTAAGTTTTTTTATTTATGTTTTTTTATTTATATTTTTTCTATACATATTTATAAGTTCTTTGATTTAAAAAAAGAAAAGAAAATTAAAACTACCGGTGCTTTATGTGAATAAAAACTTCAGCAGATTTTCTCAAATTTTTATTCATGTAAACTTATGCAATTTACTCAGTAATTGCTCAGCTTTACGAGAATAAAAACTTAAGTAAAATTGTTCAAGTTTTTATTCAAATAAAGCTGACCAATTACTGAGTAAAAGCAATTGCTCATTTTTATTCACCCGGCCTAATATGTGTTAATCAACATATACTTTATATGCTGGACTTCACAAAGTCTGTACCTATCCATCTACTAAAAAACCATTTAACTATATAAAAGTATAATATATTATATATATATATATATATATATATATATATATATATATATATATATATATATATATATATATATATATATATATATATATATATATATATTAAAATGGCCTTAAAATAAAAAGTTTTTGAAAATTGTGTCCTGGGACCTCTTAATGTGTTTTATGTAATAAAATAACTTTTTAAATAACTCTTTAATTTTTCATCAAAAAAAGTTGTTTTAAAGGTGCTGCTAGGCCATTTATTATTTAACAAGTCCCTAATATTTTGAAAAAAAAAGTGTTGCAACAGTAGGTCGACCTAGTACTTAAAAGAAGCATAATTCAAAAAAAATTCAAAAAAAATAATTTTTACAAGTTTTTTTTTAGCAATTTATATATATATATATATATATTTATATATATATATATATATATATATATATATATATATATATATATATATATATATATATATATATATATATATATACACATAGGGCTCAAATTAGGTGTATCGTGAATTGCGATTGCTTTTTACATCTTCGCGATTAGTTTTTTTTTAAAACATATTATCGTGATTGGTTTACTTTTTTAGTTGTTTATTTACTATTTTTCTAATTTAGCTTTTTTTTTTTTGGCAATTCTTAAAAGTAATGTTTTCATAGTAAAGTACGTCACGCAAAGTTTGTCTTTTGAATAGAAGTATGATCAATTGCTTTTGAATAGAAGCATGATTATTTGCTTTTGAATAGAAACATGATCATTTGCTCTTTTGCGCTGAGATTTTTTTATTCAACGTAAAGCACTTTTTAATTTAAACTCCTTTATATCTCTGCGTAGAAGCAAATTAAAAAGACAAAAGTTAAAAATAATTTTTTCTTCATTCAATTTTTTTAATAAAACAGCATTTTTATCTTTTTTTAAAAGAAACGTTGCTCCAAATTAACTTAATAATAATTGTTTAAATTATTATTTTATAAACAATTTTATATAATTATTTTTACTACTTTAATTATAATAAAATATATATAAATTCATTTTAATTAAATAAAATTTCTATTAGTAAAATTGTGCTAAAAAAAACCAGCAACTTTTTTGCTACACATTTTTCACTTTATTGACCTTGAAACTATTGAAGTTATATTTAGTTAACTTTACTGAATGGATAAAGTATATCACAGTAAATTAACTTATAACCTAAATCAAAACAACCAGTTGAGTTAAGATAGTAATTTACAGTTACTCAAGTATTAATTTAACAATTATATTAATTTATACTCGCAAAAGTTAGCCGTAGACATGTTTCAATTTAGATCTTACATGTTGTTAACACATAATATAAGCTTTTTACTAATAATTATTTTAACAAAAATTGTCAAATAGAATATGAAAAACGCGACACCATTTTTTTATATTTTCATTTTATTTATAGCAACATCTAGACTAAACATTTTCTATAAATACGCAATTGTTTTCAGGAATTTTATTTAAAAAGAAATTAATTTAGAGAACTTTAGGCTTAAAATTCACGTATTCAAATAATTTTGTGATTGAAATTTGAAATTTAAAAAAAAATTTTAAAATTTAAAAAAAGTTTGATGAAACAAGGGATAAAAGAAGAAAGTTTTTTTTTTCTTAAATTGTAAATTTTTTAAACGTTTTGAATTATATATTTTTTCTTGAAAATAGTTTTAAAAGTAGAAACATTCTATTGTAAATATCAAAGCAGTGATTGCAAATTGAAGAATTATAAAAATTTTTAATTGAATTTGATAAATTATTTTACTTTTTTTGGAAAAAATTAAAAAACAAAAAATTAATTTAAGCATATTCTTATACTTAATATAATTCAATTTATTAAACAAAATTTTTTGTTTCACTTTTTTTTATTGGAAAACAATTAGAATAAAAATAAATTGAATGAAAACATCAGTTTAAAAATCATTTGAATGAAAAACTTAATTATACTTAAATTTTTCAATTGTGCACTTGATCAGGAAACTATAATTTATAAAAGAGGTGGTATCTAATGTTTTTATGCTTTGATCTTACTTGTTTGGTCCATATATTATAAACTCGTATAGGTCTATAGGCACAAATATGAATTCTTGTTTTAGTTTATTAACTAGATCAATTTTATTTATTTGCTTCCTTTTATTTTAAGCACGTTTTATTTTATAAATTGTATAAATCAACACGAAACAGCATCACAAATTTGTTTTACATTAACCTAAGCTCTTTATATTTTTAAAACAACTTTGCAGTTTGTTTTAATGTTGTTTTATAGCTTTTAGCAATTAAATACTTTTTAAAATTAACACGTGTTTTAACGTCAGCAGGAACGTATTAAATAGTTTTATTTGACTAATTAAAGTGGTTTAGATATTGCAATGTTGCTTTTTCTCTTACTTTTTTACTTTTACTTTTTTACTTTTACTTTTTTAAGTATAATGATACTTATATATACTTATATATTTCTTTAAGTATATATTTTATTTAAGTAAAATATATACTTAAAGAAATTTGAAATTTTTTTTTTTGCGATTGGATTTTTTTGTGTTAATTCAAGCTCTGATATATATATGAATATATATATATATATATTTATATATATATATATATATCAGGCCTTGCAATGAATAAGATATGCGCGATGCATAAGCACGACGTGATTTTTGACGTCATTAAATTCTTTTTATTTGCTTTTCATATTTATCGACATTAATTGCACCAATTTACTTAATTACCGCAAAACTACTTTAAATCGTTTATGTAGAAATGTTATTATTTAAAAATGTTTTGGAATGTTTCGTTTTTTAAAATGTAAAAACATTTGTTTATTTTCTCGACATTTGTCACGTTTTGTCTATACTAAACGAATAATAAACATTATAACTTAAATTTAAAAAAAGATTATAAAATATGCTAATATTTGATTTTTTTTTCTTAAATATGTAATTTAAAGTTTTTCAAATAATTATTTTTCTTTTTAAAAAGTCAGCGAGTAATAAACTGGAAATTTTAATATTGTACGATTAAAAACTGTGCAATAGCTAATATTTTTACAAGCGATTTTATATAATATTTATTTATTTTTATTTATTTTCATAAAGCGGTTGATAAGCACAATCACTCGTATTAATAAAAAACTTAAACGAACATTTTGAATAGATTTTTAATGTTAACAAGGAATTTTATTTCAAGTAATATAAAATAAAATGTTAAAATAAAAATCTTATAGGTATAAAAGAAATATTTCAGCAAAAAAATTATTCTTTAAAATTATTATTAAAAATTATTCGAAAAACTATTGATGTTTTATTTTTCAGCAGCTGTTCTTGAGCACGCCTCGTTGAGTTTCGGTAACTTTTAACATAATTTTTTTGAGTTACTTTTTACAAAAATTTTAATAACTGTACTTTTTTATTGAATCAAGTAGAATACGTTTTAATATTAATCCTTTTTTTTTTTTTTTTATTTGCGCTCACCAATTTTTAAAATGTTTCCTCAAAATTACTCTTAAATACTTTAAATACGTCTAACAGTTAATAAATATTTAAAAATTTTTTTTTTTTAAACCTAACAAACCCCCGTAAAATAATTATTTAAGTTTAAAATCTAAAACTATAAGAAAGTATTTTTGTTCAATTTTATCGACAACTTTGCTATTGCTGAATAATTTTATTAAAATGTTAGCTTAAAAGATTTATAATTTTTTTTTAATCTGAATTTTTTCTTTTTCTTCTTCTTCTAATAATGAGCATATTTAATTTTTTTTTAATTCAAATCTTTATTTCAACTGCGTGCGGTTTTTAAAATACTTTATTAAATGTTAAAATAATCGTAAATTACTTCATTAAAATTCCGCTCAAAAATATCTTTAAATATACTCAAACAAAAAAATTTTTTGCTCGACGCAAATAGCCCTAGCTACACGCAAAATCGCTCTTGGAGGACGTAAAATTCACATCGCCCGACGCTTTATCGCAAGGCCTGATATATATATATATATATATATATATATATATATATATATATATATATATATATATATATATATATATATATATATATATATATATATATTAAAATAAAACTATTATAAAAAGAATAAATTATATTTATTTTTACGATATTTCGAGGGAATATGGATACCCTCGTTATCAAGTACGTAAAAACCGTTATAAAAAAACAAAACCGCTATGTTATATAAAAACTGTTTAAATTAACGAAACAATGTTCTTTGTAAGAGCTTCGATTCTCTCTACACTATTTAATAAGTGCTTGACTGAGTCTTATTTTTCTGCCTGCTGGCTAATGGCATCTGTGATTCCATTTTTTAAATCATTTTGTATCATCGTATCACAAAATCATATTAAAAACTCTAGTAAATATTTTTCTGTTGTTCGGAAGGTCTTTGAGTTTTTAATCAACAAGATGTCTTACATCCCATCTTGAATCAAATAACTTACTGTCAGGCAGTCAATATAGTTTTCGATGCTCTCGCTCTAAAGCTGACTTGCTAACTGCTGCAATTGAAAGATTTTATCGTGCATTAGATGGAGGTGGAGAGGCTAGGGCTATTACTCTTGACGTATCTAAAGCTTTCGACAAAGTTAGACATGCTGGTCTTCTCCATAAGTTTGTTTCCTAAGGTTTATCTTTGAAAGTTTTTTTAGATTATCAAATTCTTTTTTTTTCTCTTTTAACTGATTTATTAAAGTCATCTTTGAAGGCCATTACTCTCCTTTATTTCTAGTAACTTCTATGGTACCTCAAGCCTTTCCAGGAAACAGGTGTGGTTTTTTGTCTTAAATGACCACATGCAAGTATTTTATTTTAGACAATATGGTCACAACCGTTTGCAAGTTTTGTCATAATCATTGCGGAAAAAGTTTTAAAAGCAATAAACCAAAACTAAAAACATAGGAAATAAAAAGAAATTTAAATAAAAAATAAAAATGTTTTTTTTTTGGGTTTTTTGTTGCTTTGACTTACCAAATTTTTGTTGCCGAAAATAACAACCACTATAAAGAAACAAAAATAAAAACAGTACACATATTTTTTAAAAACAAAATTTGCCAATATATATAAATTCCTTTACTTCTGTATTTGGCCCAAAACTCAAAAGAGTATATAATAGTCCCTGATAATTTATACTTAAATTTAGGTTTGGAATTATAAAGAGGTATTATGGAATATTTTTTGAAAGTTTAAAGAAAATATTCACAGAAAAATAAATACATTGTTGTCTGTTGTCATTTAAAGTCTATTATTTGATAATTATTATCATAAACTCAAAAAATTTAAAAACCTTTGACACTTAATAAATACATTAAAAATAAATTTTGAATACATAGCATCTTTGTGTATCTTTGCATCATATTGTTGTTGCTACAAAATTCTTATATATTTTATCAATTACTATTGTTATGCAACTTTTAATAGTAAATAATGGAGCATTGTAAAGTTTAATTAAAAAAATGAGTATATACAGTTGAATGAGTAAATATTGACAGTTGAATAAATGGATATTGAGAATTAAAATACTGTCATAAAATTATTAATAAAATATTTTTTAAACAAATTCTATTGTATTTTTTTCTTTTAGGGTTAGAAAGATTCCCATTATTATTTGTTGTTTTCTTGATTTAAAATTTTTTTCTTTTAGGGTTAGAAAGATTCCCATTATTATTCGTCGTTTTCTTCCCGATGGAAGCTATGAGGACTGGGCTATCGATGAACTTATTATTGACTAATTTTTTTTCTTATTTGGTGATGTCGATTTATTGTCAATGTGACTTTGGTGTCCCTGATGCTCGATGATGTCCCTGAACATGCGACATTGATGTCCCTGAACATTTTGTCTAGCTTATTTTATAGGTTAACAAAAATGAGTTTATTGTAAAATGAAAAATAAGAACTCTATATTATTTATTGTCTTTGAGTTCTGTTTCTTTGTAAGTTTTTTCAATTACACTACAAGTTGTAATTGTTAAATTTTTTCAAGTTAAGTTTCAAAAACCTTTTTTATAAATGGCTATATTGATAAAAATCAAACATTTTATTTAATTAATTTAATTATTAGTTACAAAAATAATTGCCAAATCTAATAATATTTCACTTTAAAAATTTTAGAATGATATTTTTTAGAATAAGTGACACAAAATAAAAATTTTATTTTCAGAATGAGTGATGCAATTGGAAGTATACCTTGGTGGGGATTCTCACCTGCTGAAAACTTTGTTGAAATAATAGAAGATTCAATAAATAAAGATTCTAAGAACTTTAGAAATGAGTTAAATATTTTAATCATTGGTGGTGGCGATGGTCGACATATACTTAAAACAGTATCTCATTTTAAAAATAAAAACCAGCATTTGAACATTTATGTTGCTGAAAATAATTTAGAATTAATAGCTCGTCAAATCTTATTTTTTCATCTTGCTATAGAAAAAGTGCATGGCTTGCAAGAAAAAGTTTTTATTTATTTGGACCTATTTGGCAACACTTTACTTAGAAAGGTCACAGAAGAATACTTGCATGAAGCATCTTTTAATATTATCAAATTACTAACAAGCTCTTCTCAAAATATGTTTTTTGATTTTTCATTACTTAAGTTTAAAGAACGAGATGTTTTAGAGGGAATCTTTAAATTTTGGTCCATAAAAGAAAATATTATAGATCTGTCAAAATGTTGGGACTACAGGTTGCGTCAACATTTAGGAGTGCGCTATGATGCACGTGAAAATGTTTTTGATTGGGATTATAGTATGTACCTCAAGGATGTTGCACCAGTAGTTAACTGGCACGAATACAAAAAGTGGCGTGAAACTGGGTTGGGTTTTGATTTTTGCAGTGACTCTACTTGCCTGAATAGTAACAAAACATTAGTCTCAGGGTTGATTTTTAAAAAAGATGGTGAGAGGATTGGTAAGCAGGGCTACTGGGGTGACATGATTGTTAGCCCATACATATCATTTGGTATTGAATGTGATTCAAAGGAATTAATGGCAAAAAATAACAGCCAGCACATAAGTAGTTCAACAGATATTTCCAAATACAATGTCACTTCATTTTTTCATGAATTTCATATGAAATATGTAAGAAAAGATGTTGAAGAACAACCATTTTTTAGTTTTCAACTTCATTTTTTGTCTTTTGATGTATTAACTTCACTTCATAAAAAGGTTAAATATAAAAAAAAATTTGATTTGATTTATTTTTCTAACCATGTTACAAACTATTTAAATGAGACTGTTTCAGAACTTTTTTCGCCTCAGTGTTTACTAATGATAGAATCAACAAAATATTTAAACATTAAAAAAGAACAACATACAATGTTTGGTGAAAAAATTAATATGTTAGCAACTAATGCCGGTTGTACACCATTGAATTCATGCGATGAAAACTCTCATGCATACTATATGTTTCAACAAACTTGATGTTTTCCTTAAATATTTTTAGTAAAAATATAAATTATAAATTATCGTTATCAAATATTATTGTTAATTTTATAAATATATTTTAATAAAAGAAGTTCCTGTTGTATTATTAGATTGTATGTTATATAAAAATATAGTATCTACAAATATTATTTTATTTAGTATGAGCTGTTATTTATTAATATGTTCTACACCCTTTCGTATTTTTAGAGTAATAAGTCATATTTTTTTTACAAGTTTTGTAAAAATTGAGTTAATTACAAAAATATGGTTGAGATTTTGTGGTTTGTTGTTTTATTGTTAATTTTTTGATTATTGTAAATATAAAAGAAGGTTTTAAAAGTTATTATAGAAAAGTTGTTATAGAAATAAATTTAAAAGTTGTAATTTAAAAAGTATAGTTTTATTTTATAGTATGTTTATGTTTTCCATTAACCCAGTGGGCACAACACATGTTACAACACAGTGGGTATAACACGTTGCAACACATTAAAATGTATAAATACAAATTTATAATATAAAATATAATATAAATTTTAGATATCTAAAGCATTTTGTTTTTTATTTATTTTCATGACTTATTGATTTATTCAAGTTATGATTTATAAAAACCTTGTCAAAGATTTTCAAAATTTTTTGTAGTTGTGAACTTAATAAAAGAAATATACACATACTCACACATATATTTACGTGTATACACACACATATGTTTGTATATTTCTTTTATTAAATTCACCTCCCTTCACCTGGCTATCCTCTACAGATGTGGAGACTTTTTAATTTTTTATTTTATTATAAAATATTTTAAGTTAATGAAAAGTGAATTGGTTTTATTTAATTTTTGCAAAAAGTCACTTACCCTTATCTTACTCCTATATCCTATAAGTTAATATAATTTATTATTACATATAGTTTATGCCATAAATCAACCAATGTTTTAATTTAACTTCATTGTTTTTAACTCACTAGAAAGGGTTAATTGATTTGCAAAGTTGATAATTAATAATAATTATAAACATTAGTATTTATAAAAATTAATAATATTTATAAAAGTTATTAGTATTTAGAAAAATTAATAATTTTAAAAAAAGTTGATAATAATTATAAGTTATTAATATTTAGTAGATTTTTATTATAGAAGCATATAAAAATTTTTTTAAAGTTTCAGTACAAAAATAGTTTTTAAATGTAAATATCAAAAAAGAAGTAGAAAATTTTATGTTAAATGACTCAATATGGTTTAACAACTGAAAAGGCATTAAAAAAGCTAAAGGAGGCAATTAAAAATCAGTTATGTTGTTGTTTACAACGTAATAAGAGCATGTTATGGTTGCCTCGAAAGTTGTTCAATGCAGATTCTACTCTTCATTTTTCGATTATTGGATGTGGTGGGATTTTTTTGGTACTGATAGCAATATTAGCAAATCTGTTTGCTTTTCATATGGACAGGTTTTATAATTATTTTATTTTTTATATATTTAAAGTTTTAAGTAAAAATAATAATATCTTATCACTATTGTTTTTAATTCAAGTTATACGACGTTGCTCGCTGAATTTGTAATATTGTTGGTTTTTTTTCTTGGAATTTTATTATTTTGTATTCGTGAAGTCATTTTAAAAGAAAATGAAATTGAAAGAACAATTGGTTGTCTACTTTCTGAAATAGATGGTTAGTCTTCATTTTAAGTAAATTTTAAATAAGTTACAAGTGTTTATATCAGATTGTTATTATTACGTTTATATTAAGATTATTTATTACTTAATAAGTTTTCTATTCTATAAATGATACGTTGTGATGTTCAATAAATAAGTATATTGAAACCTTTAATCGAATCACTATTTGTGACATCTCTATATTATATATATTTTATATATTATATATATTTTAATATATTTTAAATTTACTTTATATATATTTAAAGAATAATAAGATTAAGTTGTTCCTTTTTTTTTTTTTTTTTTTTTTTGTTTCTTTTTAGTTTTTGTATTATATATTTTTAGAAACAGTTACTTGGTCAGACAACCAATATCCAAGTCTTACTTTACCAGATTCAAGATCCTTTACATTAGTTTGGACATATAGAGATGGTCATGTAGTAAACTTACCATGGAATTTAGTAGTTGAAGGGGATGTCATTATCCTTGGGTCTGGTGCTGTAGCTTTAACACGATGCAAAGAAGTAAGTTTGTTTTAATAATTATTTCAATACCAACAATATTGCAACAATTATTTACTACTAATAATTTTAATTGTTGATTTTCTTATCCTAAGTACTAAGTACTAAGTCAGATTATCATTTTTATATTTTATATTTTGCTTACCTCTTATGAAAACCATATATCCAATCCTTTCCAAAGTTAACAACAGTTAAAGTTACAGCTATATTACATGCTGTTTCTTTACTCTTTTTTCTATTCTCTACTATTACAAATCTCTTATCTGCTCTTGTATATAATGCTGTTGTCATATTTAGCTTAGTTCTTTTAATGCCTGTTTTATGTTCTGGTCCTGGCATTAAATTCTATGATTAGTTTTCTTAGTAGTTCTATCACAAGAAAAAATTATCAGTCGTGCTGTTATGAACTATTCAGTACACAATGGAATCTGTCAATTTTGAGTGGAGTTGTTGAAGAAAAAAATTAGATACTCTTCCATCCATAATTATTCAAGTAATTGTATTTTTCAATATAAGATATCAAAGTCCCATTAGATAAGCTTATAACTTAATTGGCTTTTAATCACCCTTAGCGACAGTAATCGCCATACATATTCTTGGCATTCTACTTAATGACTTTGTTCAATTTGTCAAAGTTAATTTTATGCCACTAACTGATAAGTTTTTTGCACATCTTATGCGTCAGTAATTAGTTTTTGAATTTACTTCTAATTCCTCCCATAAAAATTTGATAGGAAAGAGATCTTGTGATTGGGGAGGCTTAATAATTCTATTCAATATTTGATGGTTCTTGAACTCAGTCTTATACAATTTTTTGAAACTTATGAAACTTATACAATTTTTTGAAAAATATGTTTTAGATTTTAGTCATTTTTATAATATGTTTTAGATTAGATTAGATTTTCATTTTTAAAATATGTTTTAGATTAAGTCATTTAGATTTAAGTCATTTTTTTCTAAAAAAATTTATTGGCTTCCCATTAACCCATCTTTCCAAAGGTGTTGCTTGTTTTTTAAAGTGTCCAAATAAACTACTTTTGTAGTTCCTCTATTATTACAAAGTCACCCTGTGGCACTCCAACCAAAGCAGCCCCAATACATTATACCTTAATACTACTTCCACCATGTTTTACAGTCATTAATATACACCATTTTATCATACATTCAACAATTTTTTTCAGACAATCTTATCTTGAAACCAAAGATTTAAAACTTCGACAAGTCAGTCCAGGTTTACAATCATTGATGCTCCATTTTTTATGTAATTTTGTCCTCATTTTTATTATTCTAATGATTTTTATCAAAACATTTTAATTAAAATTCATATTATCTAAATAGTGTTAAAATAAACATAAAAAATAGTTAAATAAAAAATAGCATTTTTAAAAAAAGTTAATGTCATTTGAATAATTATGAACAGTAGTGTAAGTGTTCTTACTAAATTATAATTGCTCTGTTCATTAAGAACATTAAACATTCTTTTTGTAGAATGCATTAACATAACTTGTTTTAGTACCGCTGGAGTGGTATAGGCCCCTTTTGCTGTTTTATTAAAAAAAGACAAAAAGTTTTGGTTTTAAATGCAGTAGTATATAACTAATTTTTTGTTTATTTTAGCTACTTCATTTTTTCTTCAGGACAATAAAATGGATTAAAAAACACTTGGTTGTTTCACGTAATTACGTGACATAAATTTTTTTTTTTTCTTTATTAAGTTTCAGATTTTATTAATACTAATTACCTAAACTCATTTAATAACATGAGTATCTTTATCATTAGATATGCGCAACAAAATTCTCCTGGTGTTTTGATGTTTTTAGAAATTTCAAACTTTTTAAAAAATTCTCTCCCTGTTGTTTGTTATACCATATGTTGTTTGTTATACCATATAATATCTTTTTATATGTTATCTATAGAACTTCAAAAATGTTTTTGTATTTTAAAAAATCGAAAAAAAATATATATATATATAATAATGATGGTCAAGTGGTAGGATTTGAATGAAGGCAATCTTTACTATAGATGTGTGTGTATATATCTTATACTGCTGAGTTAGGTGAGCATGATGATGTCATCCTCACCTAACGTCAAATAGCCTGCTGCCGGGGGCTTCAGTACATAAATCAACTGACATATATATATATATATATTATATATATATATATATATATATATATATATATATATATATATATATATATATATATAACCTGTTCATTCATATTCAACCTTTTCATTCATATAGTTGATATATATATATATATATATATATATAAATATATATATATATATATATATATATATATATATATATATATATATATATATATATATATATATATATATATATATATATATATGTATATATATATATATATTTTTTTTTTTATATGTACAAATATACATATATACACATACATAAAAATTAATAAACATTATATTAAGTAAGCTTATGAAGAAGTTAGAATACAAAACTTTATTTAAAGACTTAGATTTGTTAAGATTCCAATTCCACTTTTACCTAATACATTATAAAACCTTTCTGTTACAATGGTTAACAAGTCAGAAAAAAAATGTGATGATTGTAATCTGATTGTCAAAGAGTTAGTTGACAGTAAAAAGACCTATTTGTGTCAATTTTTTACAGTAATAAAAAATTTGTTGTCCAAAGAGTTATTCTCGTGAAAAATATAGCTAAAAAAACACGCAAAAATCTAAAATATTTAACAATTTGATCTTGACGCAAATTGAGTTGATTTTTGTTATTTCTGACTTTTTATCTTTTTTTTTTTTTTTTTTTTTTTTTTCAACTTGATTTTCTTATTGTTAACTTTACAAATTTACTGTGTGTTAATTGGACCAAAACCTAATAATTTAGGTCTCAATCATGCAAGAATTAAAAAGATGATAAAGTATTTAGAATTATTTTAGATACAAACAGATGACACTTCTGGGCCTCTACATATACTCGAAGCAGGAGATACTTTTAATCCAGCATCATTAAACAGTAAACAGCTTTCTTTTAATAAAATTAAATGTATTGTACCATAGGAATTTTTGCTTTTTATTTAAATTTTGTTTTTGATTATTTTGCTTAATTTAGATAAAGAATGTGACCCATTTCCTAGACAAAGATTTGAAGTAATGCAAACTCCTGTGGAGACATTAATAAGGTATTTTTAATTGCTATCACTTCATAAATATATATATTTTATTTGTATTTTAGTCTTTAGGCAGTGAAATTTTTTTATTTGTAAACAATAAAAAAGTGAAATAAAAAGGTGTGTAAACTTTTATATGAATTTCTGCTTGCATATTGTAGATAATGGTTTGTGTATGTTTATGGAAACAGAGAAAATATAAAATTCTAGATACTACAATGTACTCGAAATAATTAGATAGAATCCAGCGGGATAGATAGAATCCAGCGGGATAGATAGAATCCAGCGGGATAGATAGAATCCAGTGGGATAGATAGAATCCAGCGGGATAGATAGAATCCAGCGGGATAGATAGAATCCAGCGGGATAGATAGAATCCATCGGGATAGATAGAATCCAGCTGGATAGATAGAATCCAGCGGGATAGATAGAATCCAGCGGGATAGATAGAATCCAGCGGGATAGATAGAATCCAGCGGGAAAAAGAGCTCAAAATAAAAAGTAGAGGAAAATAGTTTTAAAGTTCATATTGGTTATTATATATATCATTATTAATGCTAACTTAAGGGAAATGTTTAAAATAACAATATAATTATTTAATAGTAAAACTAGTAATAAAACATAATGATAATTATATAATAACAAAATCAATGGTTATGGTATAATAGGGATAAGGGATAGAAAAATATTGTGAAAATTGTGCTTTAATGAAAGTCAAACCTTTCTCTCCCAGAAAGTTTTACCATCTATATTGTTATACATGTTGAACAATATGCAGCAAAAAGTTTATATAAAAAAACCTGAAACAAAATGGTGCAAATAAAAAAACAAAATTCACTTGCATACATGTCTAAACATTGCTTTTAAAGATGTTTGTTATTAATATTATAGGTGAAATAAAAATAGACATCCAAATTAGTATTTCAAATGTTCCTCACATACTTTGCAGGCTGCACATCTTTTTTGCATCATTTTAACAAGATTGTTGCACAATTTGATTTTTTCTGAGAACGGTATTCTTGCTTCAAGTTATTTACAGATTTTATTTACTGATTCTTTCCATCCAACCCCAAATTGTTTCGATTGGATTCAAATCTTGCAATTCAGCTGGCCAGGGCAATTAATCTACTTTGTTATCTTTTTTTTACTGTGGTGTGTGAGCAGTAGTTGTATCTGCCACTGTTGTTTTTTTTGTTGATCACTCAGCATATCTACTGAAAGAACCATGCTCTAACCTATCTATATCGGCGCATTGATTGATTTGGCCATGTTGCTCAGACCTACTCTGTAAAATTAAAACAACTTATATACTTTTCAAATTTAAATATTTATTACTTCAAAGTTACTTTTACTACTTTTTTGGAAAATTTCTTCTTTCACCACCAATCTCTGACAGTCAGCATGGATTTTCTAACAGCTGTCTAACACCAATAATTTTTATTTAAACTTAAAAGAAAAAATCTAGAAGAAATACGATTTACTTTAATTCAATCACATCAAATTTTAAAAAAGAAAGTTAAACTACAGAAAGTTCAACCATGGAAAGTTTAATTATAGAATGTTCCACTGCAGAAAGGTCAAATTTTGTTTTGAGAAAGTAAAATATTTCTAACTGTATTTGAAGAAAGATGTTTTTCAGGGTTTTTATTAAATGTGTTGGTAAGTCCACAATAGCTTAACCTTAAATTGACACTTATTTTACAATGCATAAGGTTGTTTCTGTAACTTCTGTTATAATGTCTTTCTGTTATAAGTATTTCTGATGTAATTCATTGAACTTTTTTTTATCTTCATTGTATTGAGTCTGTCCATTTTCTATCATTTTATAATGGTTATATATATTATTATAACTGTTTTCTATCTATCACTTTATAATGAAGATAAATGTAAAATAACTTTATTTGAGCTAATTTTGAATGTCTGTATAAATACTTTTGTAGGTCTGTATGAATACTTTTGTACATCTGTATGACGTATGTTTTGTACGTCTGCATGTGGTATGTTTTATACATCTGTATGAGACACATTTTGTACATCTGTATGATGTACGTTTTGTATGTCTATGATTTGCGTTTAGTACGTCTTGAATACTTTAAACAATAAAAATAATAAGAGCTGAACATGCGCTAAAAAAACATATGCTAACAAAACATGTCGAAAATTGTTTTTGCTCTCCAATAGACCTTTTTGTCTGTTACCATGTAACATGTACATATTTATTATTCAGTACTTTGTTACTTTGCTTTTATTATTCAGAACTTTGTTACTGTTTTTTGACTTATTTCTGTGGATCTTAACTAATAGATCTTATTAGAATATTTAAAAAGACAATATTAAAGTACAATACAAAGTAAATTAAACTGGTCATCATAAGTAGTTTTATGCAATATTTTATAGAAAATTGTATAAATGCATTAGTGGTGTAGTGGTAGAGCACTCTCTTCATATGTGAGAAGTTCCAAATTGGATCCCTACTACATCCCTAGTAGTACCACTCTCAACTTGTTTTTCTGTGTACCAGACTTGTTTGTCAAGGTTCGTTTTTAAGTTATTTCAGAGTTGAGAATTGTAACTAAAGTAGCCTCCTTGACTGTAGTGGCCCTCTCGACTTTGGCTGTAGTGGCCCTCTCGACCTTGGGGATGTGAATAACATAAAGTATTATGTGTTAAAAACATAATAATTAAATAATAATAAATTTGTGCTATACATGTGACAATTTTAATGTGCTGAGTCTAACAACTGTAGAAACTTTGACAGCCTTTGCAAAAGTTTTATAATTAAATTTTTATTTATTTTTGTTTGTTTTTGAAAAGATCAAACTTGAAGTCCTTTACATTATCTCTTCTGTTAAACTACTCTATTTGTATAATAATAATTGTATTTTCTGTGTAAGACCTCCTAATATTGCACACTTAGGAGTCAAGTTAAACCTCTCAGTCAGTCTTCATTGCAAACATTCAAACTATATTGTTTGAAAAAAATAAAAGTAAATGTTTTTTAAATAAGACAATGCAGAACTTTTTTTTAAAAAATAATATTATGCACAAACATTTGTGCTTCAGAATTGTTTCTTCGTGTTTTCTTTTTTCTACTAATTTGAAGCTTTTTTATGTTTTAGGTTCTTATGCTTAAAAAATCTACAAAATCAGCATTACTAAATAAATTAATTATTGATAATTTTTGTTTCAAAAGAAGCTAAAAATTTTTTACAACTTCAATTATATTGCTGATTATTATTTTTTTCATAAACAGTAAATTTTATGCTGATTCAGCATTTAAATAAGCCTTAAATAAAATGTTGTATTTAGAGAAAGCATTTTTTTTTTCCATTTAAAAGTGATGCTTGATAGCTTCATTTTAAAAGTGATATTTGATATCTTCATTTTAAAAGTGATGTTTAATAGCTTCATTTTTAGGTTGTAAAAGTGATACATATTAAATGAGGTGGTATCACCATTTTAATTGTCATAATGTCTTAAAATATATTAAATGAGGTGGTATCACCATTTTAATTGTCATGTCTTAAAATATATTAAATGAGGTGGTATCACCATTTTAATTGTCATAATGTCTTAAAATATATTAAATGAGGTGGTATCACCATTTTAATTGTCATAATGTCTTAAAATATATTAAATGAGGTGGTATCACCATTTTAATTGTCATAATTTCATAAAATATATATTATAGTTATTCAATTTATATGCAGTTATGTTATGACTATTTATGTACCAAATTTCTGCTTGATACAACTATGTCATTAAATATTGCGATTTGATGTTTTCATTCATTTAGCTCTTACTTTCATGAAAATTCTCATAAGTTGGTAAGCATTTGTAATGCTGATGCCAAAATTATTCGTCAATTTATTGAAAGAAGATTACTTTTTGCTGTTGTGGTAAGTTATCAATTTTTTGTGTAATTATTCTTGAAATTTTATATCCTTAGATCCCTATTATAATTTTTATTATAAATTTAATTTGACCTTTCTACAATGGAACTTTTTATGCTTGAACTTTCCATGGTTGAACTTAGTGTAGTTTACCTTTTTGTTTTTAAATTTTCTGTAATTGTGTTTTAATTTCTGTAAATGAGGCTTAATCTTTTCCCTTGAGTTTCATCAAAATGTATTTGTGTGTGTTAAACTTTTTAATTATCTATGCCTCAGCTATTTTAACTTAATTTTTTAAATTATAAATACATTTTGTTTCAGTTATTTGTTTTACTCGTCAACATAATAAGATGGAGATTGATTCCTGAAGCTTCTGGATTTAACCTGGAGATGATTTTTTTAATACCAGTAAATATTTTTAAAAAAATTTATTGTAAATACATTTTTTTTAAGCATTTGTAAAATTATTGCAATTAACTTCCTTATTTTTTATTTTGTGCTGATATATATTTTTTTTTCAAAGTGTATTTTTGTTTCTAATTTTGTTTTTTTTAATTTGATTTGACCACTTGTATATTTAAGTACATAGATCATTCAGAAAAAGATATCAAAGAAAAAAGAAAAAATACCTAACAGTTTTTAAATTTAAATTAAAAATGAAAAAAATCAAAACTCAATATAAGTTCATTATATTTTGTCTTTAATGTGATTTTCATCTATGAATTTTTACTGAAACTGTACTTATTTATTGTTAACCATTATTTCAATTATCCTGTTCAATTTAATATTTAAAAATCTAAATATTGCATTACGAGTGTATTATTTGTTATGAAATAATCTGTTTTTGTGATTCGTTAGAATTTTCAGGAACTTATAATTGAATATGGTTGATAATAATCTAAAATTTTTTGTTAATAGCAACAATCATAATGGTAATAATCTTCAGAAAACATCATAATTAGCATAATTAGCATCTTTAGTAAACAGTAGCATAATTACTCAGATCAATTATTTTTCTTTAGTACAATTACTAAGAGTAATTGTCTTTTAAGAAAAACATTTTTTAAAATACTTTATCTCACTTAAATATGATCTATAATAATAAAATAACACTATATTTTGAAATATTATGAATAAAAATATTTTACCCTTGAATATTTAAGGGGTGTCTTTTTATGAAAAAAAAAGCTTGTAAAAAAAAGTCAACCTGGGTTTTGTAGCAAAATAAAAAATTTTTAAATCTTTTTATAAAAAGTTTGTTTATTTTTAACATTTTTGTGACAATTTTTTAACATGAAAAGTTGTTGCAAGTTTTTTTGATGATTTTTTTGTTTGAATACACACATAATTGGTTAGTTACACCATTACTACCACCAAGTTACACCATCAAAACTGTGCAACACTATTATCATAGAATTGCACAACAGAATCAAAGAATAAGAATAATAGTTCTAATTTTTTATTATTTTTTCTAACAATTTTTTTTTTTTTTAATTTCTTAGTGTCATTCTATTTTCCCATTGTTACCTCTTACATTTCCCATTATATGGAAGTTTGTTTCATTTTATGGTGCAGCAAGGTTGCGAGTTCTTCTCTCTATATACTCAAAAGTAAGGATAAACAGTTTTTTTAAAAATGATTTTAAAATTAAATTTTTTTTTAATAGTTTTTTAATTAGTAATTTTTATTAATAAAAAGTAATCATTTGTATTTATCTTTTAAAATAAAAAATTTGCAATTTTAAACTTATATATATATTTTTTTATTTCAATTAGACTTATTTAATTTATTTGTTTAGCTGTATACCAAAGCAAGCGACTCAGAGGAAATTATAGTAAGCTGATGTCTTTATTATTAACAAAAACTCAACATGCTATTTTTAAGGATTTTGACTCTTTTATAGCTGGAACATGTTGATCGTTTAGCTGTTTGGAAATCCTTTTGGAAGATTCTTTGTGGAGATCCACAAGGTCTACCTAGAAGAATTGATTTAGTGCATGCTTTGGGTAGCATTACTGTTAGTTCTCTTTAAACTTTTTTTTTATTGCCTTTGTTTTCAAATTGAACGATTAAATATGATATTATGGAAAAGCATTTAAGAGTGGTTCAAATTCTTTTTTTGTGTATCAAATGTTAGGTTTTGTTAATAAATACTTTTTGTTACAAAAATTAAAAAAAATGTTTTTAATTTTTCTGTGTTAAAAATTTTTTTGTTCATTGTTTAATTATTAATATTAGTTTCAATTAAAAAAATTTAATTTTTTTTTTTTTGTTGTTGAAGTTTAGCATTTTTTTTTTTTTTGAAGTTTTTTTTAAATTTAAAACTAAAGCAGTTTATGTGGTGTAGAGATAGTAGACTTGCTTTGTAAGCAAAAGTTCAGAGTTTATCCTCACCATGTCCCTAGTACTGAGCTTAACTCTTCACAGTGGCCTTCTTTGTTAAAATTTATGTTTAGGAGTTAAAAAACTGTGTGAGGGTTCTATATATCTACTATAGAGTGTTTAGATAACAAATTGTTACTCTATTTTACAATAATATATATATATGGATTTCAAGTTTCACCTCAGTTGGTGTAGCGGCACCATCAGGGTATAAGATAATCAATGTATGTACTGAAGTCCTTGGAAGCAGGCTATTTCAGTGTGACATGTCAGACTGCTTATCCTAACACGCATTTATAGCTGTGTATGTGTATTTGTGTGAAAATATATGTATAAATATACATATTACGTGAAGTTAATATGTAAATTTTTGAAAATATTATTACAAAATCTTTTTTTTTATCATTTATCTATTTGTATCATTTTTTTTTTAGAAATTTGTTTTGTTGTTAAAATTATTCTGTAAATTTTTTTAAATTTTCAGACTTTTAGCTGTGTTGATAAGGAAGGAATTTTGTGTTATCCAAATCCAATACCTGAAAAGTTGTTTTATTTTGAGAGCATGCCAACAACAAGTCAAATAAATGAAGGAAATATCAATTCTGCAGATGTGCCTGTATGCGTTTCAAGTCAATTAGGTAATTAATTAAAATATAGTTTCATTATTTTTAAAGCTCTGTACAACAAATCAAAAATTTTAATTTTAGGTGTTCATTTGTGTGCTTGTGTGTGTGCAAATATATATGATCATTAATAAATATAATAAAAATTTTGATATGTTGTATAATAAGGCTACTACTATGATGGAAATTTAGTAATATTTGTTATAAAAAAAATAAATTAAAAGATATCAATTAATATCTTTTAATTTATTTATTTATTTATTAATGACAATTATTGATAATTTCGTGATTAATGAATTTGTCTCCTCCTTTCATGATTAATGAATTCGTCTTCTCCTTTCGTGATCAATGAATTCGTCTCCTCCTTTCATGATTATTGAATTCGTCTCCTCCTTTCGTGATCAATGAATTTGTCTCCTCCTTTCAAACTCTTTAATAAGACTTTAATAGTAAAAAAAACTTTTAATGCTTTTTTAACATTTTTTTGTTGCTTTTTTCAACATTTGAGCAACATTAACAATTAAAGGACATTTTAATTTCATCTAAAAATTAAAACAATTAAAATAATACGGAGGTACATTAAGTTTTATTGTTTTTTAAAAAGCCACTATAGTAATGACTAGAAAGTTTTTTTGATTAGTAGTGTTTTGTTTTTGTTTTTTTATTGTTTTATTTTTAAAACATGCTAGGAGTGTTACTACATTATAAAAATACTTATTTTGGGAAGATGTTATCTTCATCCTGCTAAAATTCCCTTTACTTAGGGCTTTTAGTTGAGTAAATTCTAGAGATGGTGTCTTGATAAAAGTGCTCATCTTAGTCAGATAACTGCATTCCAGCTACGGTTTTGTAGAAGGCCTCCTAGGTGAAGACTTAAGGGGTTAGCAGATTGATTTTGCTGACCAGCTTCGATCTCTTTTTCATCTATTAGGCTGGAATAGGCATAAACCTGTGTTACATTGATTCTTCAAGAACTCTCTACAATTCTCTCTAAACTTTTTAATAAGTGCTTGACTGAATAGTTTTCCTGCTTGTCGGAAAATGGCACCCCTTGCTCCAATTTTTAAAAACTCACTACAACATTCTGATCTTTAATTATTGTCGGGATCAGTCTTCTTTTTGTTATTAGCAAGGACTTCTAGTCTTTGATCAATAAATTTCTTACATCCCATTATGAGTCAAATAACTTACTGTCAGACAATCAATAGGGTTTTCAATCCTCTCGCTCTACAGCTGACTTGCTAACTGCAAAAAATTTATTGTGAATTAGATGGAGGCGGATAGGCTGATCTTCAATTATTGTCGGGATCAGTCTTTTTTTTTGTTATTAGCAAGGACTTCTAGTCTTTGATCAATAAATTTCTTACATCCCATTATGAGTCAAATAACTTACTGTCAGACAATCAATAGGGTTTTCAATCCTCTCGCTCTACAGCTGACTTGCTAACTGCAAAAATTTTATTTTGCATTAGATGGAGGCGGATAGGCTAGGGCTATTGCTTTTGACATATCTAAAGCTTTAGACAAAGTTTGACATGGTCTTCTACATAAGCTTTGGCTGGTCTTCTACATAAGCTTGATTTTTATGGTGTATTTGGGAAAGTTTTGTAATCAAATTTTTTTATTAACTGCTTTATTAACTCATCTTCGAAAGCCAACGCTCTTCTTTTTTTTCAAGTACATTTTGGGATACCCCAAAGCTCTATCCTGTTTTGTTTCTTATCTACATTAATGATCTTCCTGATAACCTTACATCTAGAGTAGCATTTTTTGCTGATAATTCAACTTTATACTCTTGTTTTAACAAAAAGTGTTCTCTTTTCGATCGCTTAGAACAAGCAGCCGATCTTGTGTCTACAGTAACAGATCTCACATCTGTTACTGATTAGGGCCTGCAGTTGCTTTTGAGTTTTAACTTTAACAAAACTCATTTGTTTACTGCAAATAACTATTGCAATACTGTCAACATTCCTATATTGATGAATGGCAACCCTCTCTCTGATTCCTCTTAATGTATTCTTAGATTATCGTTTACTAATGACCTTTCGTGGAAAGCATATATACAGTATATCTGCTAAGGTGGCTTCCCTTTATTGTGCTTGCAATTTTCTCCTGATTCCATTTTCTACCTCCACAAATATCTTTTTTGTTCCTGTATAGAATACTGTTGTCATTTTTGGGCTTAGTTCTTCTAATGATGCTCTTTCTCTTCTAGACGAAGTCTGAAAACGCATTGTAAACATGGTTGGATTCATTCTATCTGCTTAGCTTGATCTCCCTGAGCAAAGTTCCATCTAGTAAAAAGTAAAGTTTCATCTCTTTCTATTTCTATAAATAATATCATGGTTGCTGTTCAAAGGAGCTATTATTTCTATTTCCATCAACTAAAACCCATTCTTGCTTGACTTGTCATTCAGCAAAGTTATATTCTTTTACTGTATCTGTGTCTGCATGCTCTATAAACTTTTATTTGTATTGTTTTTTTCCTCTCACTTTAATCCTTTGTAATTCTCTCCCAACTTCATGTTTTTCTGACCTTTTTTTTTTGTTATATAACTCTATTTTTTTTTCCTTTACTAGTAACTCCCAACTTAATAGTAATTGTTAGGAGCCTTGTTAGGAGTAAATCATAATTAAAAAAAGTTTTAATAATTTTAATTTATTTATTTTAATAAATTTTTTTTAGATTTTTTATTATTTCATTTTTTCAATAGAAAGAAGTTTTGATGAAGTTAAGATACTTACTATTTCTTCTGATCCTCAAGTAATTTTTCATTTATTTATGATATTCACTATTGTACATTTTTAAATTATATTTGAATGATGATGATGGTGATGATAATGATGATGATGATGATGATGATGATGATGATGATGATGATGATGATGATGATGATGATGATGATGATGATGATGATGATGATGATGATGATGATGATGATGATAATGATGATGATGATGATGATGATGATGATGATGATGATGATGATGATGATGATGATGATGATGATGATGATGATGATGATGATGATGATGATGATGATGATGATGATGATGATGATGATGATGATGATGATGATGATGGCAATTATTGTAATGCTTTTGGATTATCTTTTTAGAGTTGTAATGGTTTTAGGTTTGATGAGTTAGAATGGCAAAAATCAATATCTTCTTTAAAACCGTTGGTAGGTTTTTAAAAAAGTTTTTTTTAAATTTTGTTTTCCAAATTATTTTTTTTTCCATAATGTTTTTAAATATATTTAGATTTTTCTTATTTAGCATAACTTATATGTATTGCATATTTGAAAATATAAACTGATGTTTTTTTGAAGCAAGTAAGATTTCGTAGCCAGGGTAAAAACAATTTATCCACTTGAAAAAAAAACTTTGATTTAAGTTTAGAATTAAATAAACTTATTTTCTGGTCTGCTCTAGTTTTTAGTAAGCCTTTTTTATTTAACCATAGACTTTCTTTGATACAAAATTTGCAAGATTTTCTTTTATTGTGTGTTGTTGGGTAAATCTGTAAGGATATGTGATAGAGAATTTCGTCAAAACTTTTTATTATTGAAATAATGAAATTTAGATAGAAGTTAGAGATTTATCCAATGCTGTATCCAATCCCAGATGGCTTAAGTTTTTTTTGCCTTTTTTTCATTTACTTAAATGGTTTTAAGTTTCTGAGCTTATTCTTAATTATAGTTAAACTAGTTCTTTAAATACTTTCTAAACCGTCAAAAATGACTTAGATATTTAAAATATTAAGTTAAAATGATTTCAAGCATTTTTAAAGGATAATTTGTATAATAATATTATCACATTGCTTCTCTTTTTTATAAATACTATAATCACTGGTTATCTTTTTCTTGATTTTTCCGGAATTCCGGATATTTTTTTCAACTATTAATTTTTCCAGTAATTCAAAACATTTTCAATACATGCTAATTTAGGTGTATATTTTTGTAATATATATTTTTTTTAAGCTTTTTCACTCATCAATCATAGAAAAGTTATGAAAAGTGTCCAAAAAAAAGTAAAAACAACTTAGCTAAAAGCAAAATTAAAAAGAAAATAAGGGAAAACAAATTCCAGATTTTTTCCAGATAATTTATTCAAAAAATTTTCCAGATTTTTAAAATATGACTAGGATAATTTATGTATGAAACTGCTCTAAAGAGCGTTTCTTGTGCCAATTTACTAAAATTCATTCTTGTGTTGCTCGTCATTCAATTAAGTCTCATCTTTCTACTGTGACTGTTCTTAAGTGTTTCAAAAATTCTTATTCGTCTAGCTTTTTTCCTCAAACATCAGTCCTTTGGAATTTGCTTCCTTCATCTTGTTTTCCTGATTCATATAATTTGCAATATTTTAAGTCGTCTGGTAATTGTTATCTTGCTTAATAAATTTCATCTTTTTTCTTTCAACTCTAATAGTAACTTCAACCCTAATAGTGGTTAACTGGTAACTTCCAACTTTAATAGTGGTTACTTGCAGCCTTGTTGGAAGTCAAGGGAAAAAAAAATTAAAATTTCAAATCATTTGTAAAGTGATTTGAAAATTTTTTATTACAAATTAGTCAAAGCGCACACACTGATCAAATAACTTTAAACTTTTTCTAATTTTATGCTTTAAAGCTTTAAATCGTTCAGCTGCACTTTTTGAAGTGTTTCTTTTTTTTTTGTATTCATAAAAGTTTCTTTATCAGTGAAAGATTTGGATTATCCTTTATTTATGGAAGATTTGGGTTAATGCTATTCCAAAGGTTTGAAAATTTTCAACTCACTTTTAAAACAATGGCAGAAAAGTCAATTTTCTCAGTTGTGTTTTTTCTTCAATTTGATAGCTTTATTAAATCTGCTTTTATGTTGTGAACTAGTAGTTTACAACTAGTTCCACTATTTTTAGGGTAGGTAACATGTTGTTAATAACCCTGGTAGATGAGTTACCTAAGTAACCCTGGTAGATGAGTTGCACAGCATTGCCAATTTTCACAATCAAAAATTTCACCTAAAATGTGATATTTAAACAACTTTACCCCCAAAAAAGCTGCAGCCACCAACTAAGTTAGAATAAGAAAGAACTAAGAACTTAGTTGGAATCAGAAAGAACTAAGAACTAAGTTGGAATCAGAAAGAACTAAGTTGAAATCAGAAAAAGCTAAGAACTAAGTTGGAAAACAAAGAGAGTTAAAGAACAAGGGTTAGGTAGAACTAGGTGACAGAAGATTTAAAAAACTTATAGTTAGCAAAACATGAGACTTGATAGAGGATTCCAGAGATGTGTGAGGAGACTTGATAGAGGGTTCTATAGATGTGTAATTTTGATCAAAATTAAATTGTAATTACAGTATTTTTTTTAATAATTAAATATTTTAAAATTGTGATATTAAAAATATTACATAAGTAAAATATTGAAAAATTATGGTTTTCTTTATTTATTTTATATTTCATCCATAAATATTTAATTTTGAACTGTTTAAATAAAAAAGTTAAATTGTAGTTAATATAACTATAATAGAGTTAAAATATAATCTGCTTAAATATAAAATTTAAATCTTTTAGGGACTTAATATGCTTCTTAATTCACCATGCTTGTATCCTTTGAAAACAATACGAGAAAATGATTTTATTAATCAATTGTTATTGGCTTCAAATAATTCTTTAATGTCAGGATTAAATGGGTAAACAAATTCATATATAAATTCTTTTATTTTGATCAGCGTAAATATTATTACTATTTCTTTCAAGGTGTTGTGTGACTTTTTTATTTGAAGGTTCTGTGTGATTTTTAATTTGAAGATGTCTGTGTGATTTTTTATTTGCAGGTGTTTGTGTGGTTTATCTCGAGAAATTGGTTTTAAAGATCTTGCTCTTCATAATTATCAACACAAACAAAAGATTTTTACATATAGTCCTATGGTAGTTTTTAGAACTTTTTTTAACTAACGTAATCTTTTGTAATAAATTAAATTGAATTATATAATTAGTGATACAAAACTAATGTAATAATGCTAATAACTTTATCAGGCAGCAAAACTGATTATGGTAATAACCTAATATTATTATCAGGTAGCAGCTCCTGGAATTTTGAATAGCTGAAAACTGTTTATATATTCTTTCTAACTAATCCAAAACTTGATGAAGATATGCAATACTACTTTTTTCTCTTAGCCTTAGGAATGTTATTTAAAAAAAAAAGTCTCTTTAATCAAAAAGATAAAAATATAAAACTGCTGCCTTACTCATATATACATGCATATATAAATATATATATATATATATATATATATATATATATATATATATATATATATATATATATATATATATATATATATAATTTTACATATATATATATATATATATATATATATATATATATATATATATATATATATATATATATATATATATATATATATATATATATATATATATATATATAATTTTACATATATATATATATATATATATATAAAATTTTATATATATATATATGAAGAAAAAAAAAAAAAAAAAAGCATAAGTAATCATTTCTAAAGAATTCTTTTTATAATAGTGTCAGCAAATTCCACAAATGTGTGAAAATTTACAGTAGTTAAAACATTTGCGATGTTTTAATCATCATCATCATCATCATCCTGTAATTTAATTTTTTGGTATAAATTGAAGTTTTATTAATTTGATCATTCATTTCTGATGAGTCTTTGTTGATGAAACAGTGTTAAATGAAAAAAATTTTTGTTAAGTGATTTTCTACTAATTTATAATTGCTCTGTTCTTTTAAGAACATTGAGCACTCTATTTTGTAGAATATATTTTTTTTTTTTAAATTGTTTATATATATATATATATATATATATATATATATATATATATATATATATATATATATATATATATATATATATTCCGGGAAGTTATTTTATGTTGTTACAACCATCACTCAACTCCAAAACATGAACCTTGAGGAACAAGACCCCTTATAATCAGTGAAATAATAATATAATAATCTAGAAGATAAGTTCAAATTTGAAGAGCAATGAAATATGATAATATATTAGTAAAACCATTTATTTATTGATTTTTAGGATTCAACTGAAGCTACTGTCCCTTCAAGTTTTTATCTTTCTATTGTAAGAGAAAAACGTCTTCCTCATATGATTTCTTCACTAATAAATCAAACCAATAGCAGTAAGTCTTACATTATTTTTATATTTTTCATTAATGTTTAAAGTTTATTTATTAAATAAAGAATTTGTTATTGAAGACATCACACAAATGTTAAGTGTTGGGTCAGCTGATATTATTCTCGAAGCTTGTTCGGATATATGGAATGGGTGTGATATTAAACCTCTTTCTGAAGCTAAAAAGTAATTGATTTTTGTTTAACTTGATTGTATTGTTTTTTTCTTTTTGTTTTATATAAATATAGTCGCTCTGAAATGTAAGTTGACAACCCTTATTTTTAGTATTTTAAATGTAATATATACAAATTACTGATGTTATTTTTTTAGAAATAAAATATGTTATTTCTATGCATTAATACATTTATTTTTAGCGTTAAATATACAAATTAATTTAGATGTCATGTCAGGTTATCCTGCTACTGGTAACATGTACTTTTTTAGGCAAAGATTAGTAGAAGCCAACTCAAGCTTAAAACACCCCTACCTTGAGGCTCTTGGTTGAAAAGGCTTCTCAATAAAAATACTCATCTTGGGCAGATGTTAAATGCAACCGGCTACTGTCTTAAAAGATTTAAGGGGTAAACAGATTCTATCTGTTCTAGTATCAGTGACTCTGCAGGCGTTAAACTCCACAACTTTTGCTTTTCTCAATCTCTAACTCAAATAGTCAACTTTCCAACTCACTTTCCAGACAACTTGAATAATTTACCTTCTCTACTCGACTTATGTCTTGTTTCTGATCCTAGTCAGTGCTCAGTTTCTTCACACTCACGCTTAGGTGCTTCTGATCACAGTTTGATCTCTCTAAAGCTATTATCTCATTCTTCTTCATCATCTGCATCCCCCCTATCATCATACCTCTTACAACTACCTTAAAGCTGAATGGAACTTGTTCCGTGATTTTCTTCAGGATGGCCCTTGGGTAGAAATCTTTTATCTTCCTGCTAATAAATGTGCTTTAAAAGTCAAGCCTCGCTCTTCTCCATGGTTTTCCTCACATTGTGCTGCTGCAATTGCCAATCGAAACCATTACTTCCATATCTATCAGCAAATCAATTCTACAGAAAACAGATGTCTGTTTATTACTGCTAGGAACCATTGTAAAAAGATTTTGTCTACCGCCAAAGCCAGCTATTTTCAGGTCATGAAATCTTGTATTTCATCACAAAAATTAGGCTCTTGGGACTTCTGAAGAATCTTTAATAGTATCAATAATAAGGGCAAGTCTGTAATTCCACCGCTTTTGTATGGTTTAGACTTTTTCACCTCACTTAAAGACAAGGCTGAATTGCTTGCTAAGAACTTTTCATCAATATTATCTCTTGATTCCACTAGTTGCGTTCTGCCTGATATAACTGTCAAACAGGTTGATCCATTGCTTGACATTCGTATTACTCCAGCTTCTATATCTAAAGTGATTTCTTGCTTAGACTCTTCTACAGCTAGTGGTCCGGACAACATACCTGTAATAGTCTTGCAGAGGTGTTCTACGGAGCTTTGGTCTATACTTTTAAAACTATTCAACAATTGCCTATTGGAATCTTTTTTTCCGTCATGCTGGAAAGCAGCGTCTGTTACCTCAATTATCAAAAATTCTGGAGAGCGATCTGACTTGTATAACTACTGTCCCATTAGTCTACTTCCAATCATAAGCAAGGTCTTTAATTAACAAACACTTTAATTAACAAACAAAGTCTTTATTTAGCAAACACTTATCTTGAATCTAATAACTCTTATCTTGAATTTAATAACTTACAGATGATTTGCTAACAGTAATAACCGATTTTATCATACATTTGATAGAGGTGGAGAGACTAAGACTATCACTCTTGAGATTTCTAAAGCTTTGATAAAGTTTAGTATGCTGGTCTTCTCTATAAGCTTCTTCTTACGGTGTATCATGTAACATTTTTAAGGATATTGAATCCTTCCTTTCCAATCGTAGTATAAAAGTTGTCCTTGATTGATAGCACTCTTCTTCATATCCTGTAACTTCAGGGGTTCCTCAAGGTTTTATCCTTGGCCCAATTCTCTTTTTAAATTACATTAACGATCTTCCGAATACTTTTACATCTAAGGTGGCACGTTTGCTGATGATACTACCATTTATTCTTGTCTTGACAAGAACTCAACATTTTCTGATTGCTTGGAGGAAGCATCTGAGCTTGAAAAGGATCTCACTTCTGGTACAGCATGGGACTCACTGTAGAGATGTCGATAAAGTAATGCAACCTTAGCATCTGCTAAGGTTGCATCTCTTTATTGAGCTCGACACTTATTTTCTTCTGATTTTATTCTTTATTTCTATAAATCTCAAATCCATCCTTGTATGGAATACTGTTGCCATATCTGGGGCAGATCTTTCTCCTTGAAATGATGCCCTTTCTCCTTTAAACAAGGTGCAAAAACGCATTGTAAACATAGTTGGACCTGCTCTTGCAGCCAACCTCCAACCATAATCACATTATTGTAATGTTGCTTCTCTTTCTCTTTTCTACAAATACTATAATGGGCACTGCTTTAAAGAACTAGCGTCTCTTATGCTGTCTGCAAAAATTCATTCCCCTGTTACTCGTTATTCAATTAAGTCTCATCCTTTTACTGTGTCTGTTCTTAAGTGCTCCAAAAACTCCTATTTTATCTAGTTTTTTTTCGCGAACATCAGTTCTTTGGCATTCGCTTGCATCCTAATTCATATAATTTGCAATCTTTCAAGTCTTCTGTCAATTGTTATCTTGCTCTATAAACTTTATCTTTTTAATTACACTAAATAAATTACTATTTTAAAAAATTACTTTATGATTGTTTTAAAAAATAATTAACAGATTTAACTTATACCTCTTCATTTGATAACTTCAAGCATACTGTTAAGCATACTATTAATTAATTTCTTAATGAACTCTTGGGACATTAAACTTCAGGGTTCCTTGCAATCAATATTGTCTCAAATGTTCTACGGGTTACAATTAATGTGGTTTTCTTGAAAAAGTTTACTTTTAATTTTTTTGGCAGTATGTTTGTAATTTACCTACAAACTCATCAGAGAAATAACCCCAGAGCCTAACTGAGTCTCTGCCATATTTTGTTGTAGATTTTTTTTACCGTACTTTTATGTGTTTCCTATTTTTCTTTACACTAGTAAGCACTGTTTTGTAGTTTTTAGTTTTATAAAGAATACTTTCCCAAATTTATGAAGGTTTATTTGTATCAAAGGCTAACTTAAGTTATTCTTTGAAATAAATGAGGTTTTTAAATAAGCTTTTTTGTTGCTTCACTGCTACATAATTTAACTTTGTTTAATCTGGATTTGATTTGATTAATACCTATTGGAAAATTTATATCTTTTGTTAAGGTTATTATATTATTCTGATAAAAATGTTCTCTGTTTTCTATAATACTATAATGGTGCTGCTCTAAAGAGCTAGCATCTCTTGTGCCACCTACTAAAATTCATTCTCTTGTTATTTGTCATTCAATTAGTTCTCAACTTTTTATTGTGGCTGTTCTTAAGTGCTCCAAAAACTCCAATTTAATCCAAATAATGTTTAAGTGTCAAATTCAAAAACTTTAAAAAATTTTTGAATTTGACACTTTAACAATATCTTGCTTCATACAGTTTATAGTTTAAGTTTTTTTTTTCTCCTGCTTTTTAAACTCTTTATTAGTGGTTGTATCATTATTGATAAATTGAATAAGCTTGCTTCCTATATGAAGTTTCAAGTTTGATTCCTACCACATCCCTGATGGTACCGTGCTTTGCTTGTTTTTCTGCACAGCAGTCCTGTTTGTCAAGTTTTATGTTTCAGAATTAAGGAATTGAGAGAGAGAGTTGTAACCACAACATAGTTTTCTCAACTGTTATTGCTATCTTTGCCTTGTAGGTGAATAAAATACAAAGTGAAAAACAAAACAAAGAAAGTTTTTATTCTATCCAACAGATCTTTAAAATATAACAAATATTTCAACAGACATTTAAAATATTTCAAATGAATAAATTTTAATGTTGTTGGTGGATGTTTAATGAATTTTTTACTTTACTGTTTTATTTGTTTTTATCATTAAAATAGAAGTGAGAGATTAATGTTTGAGGTTTTCAAAACTGAGGGATTGATTGATGATTTATTTTTTTCAAAACTGAGGGATTGATGAAATAATTGATCATGGCCCCCACAAGGGGATGGGCAATTGTACTCTAGCGCTAGGGCCTGTAGGTAAAGGGGCCTGCCAGATAAATTAATACGCACATAATATGTATATCAATACACGCATATGCATGCACAACAGCTTAACATTTATATTTATTCTTAAAACTAAAATTTTTCGAGCCGTTGTTGTTAACTATTTTCCGTGTTTGTCTTGTAGGTTTTACTTGATTATTGAACCGTTAAACATAGTTTTGTCAGTTATCTTGATATTGATTGCCAAGAGCAGTAAAATAGGTACACTGTCAATATAATTTCATGTTTAAAATAACATTTTAAAATGATATTATGATAATTAATAATAATAATATTTTGATAAAGAAACTACCTTGTTTTGAATGCAGTTAAGTCAAGTTTTGTCATTTTAATTTTGATTTAAACAGTTAATTAATGTTTTAAAAAAGGGGTGCATTGATACCATTTCATAATAAAAAATTTTTTTTTATCTGCTAAAGAAATTTTTTTTTCTTTTTTTTCCTGTCAAAGTCCCTAGCATGCGGCCCCATTTCAGCATGTCAGAGCCATGTATATATGTATATATATATATATATATATATATATATATATATATATATATATATATATATATATATATATATATATATATATATATTTATATATATATATATATATATATATGCATATGCATATTTATTTAGACTTTTTATTTAGAGTTATTTATGCTTTTTTTTTTAATTTAGAATTATTCAGCAGTCATTCTATAAAATTATAAAAAATGTTATGTAGTTATAAGTAATTGTATGTTATAGTTATTAGTTGTTCTAAATATTTGTGGCTTAAGTGGTATTTTGAAAACAAATTTTTATTTTTTTATTCTTTACATTTAAAGAAAAAAAAAGTTAATAGATGAAGTATAAAATAAAAACCATTTCCCATTTAGCTAAACAATAATAACTTTATTTTTAACTAACTTAGTGTTATTTTTAATATTTTAATTGTTGTACTATGGTTATCCAATGATTGATTTTAATGGTAAAATAAAGCTTTTATTACTATTGCACTTGAAATAAGCTTATAGGGAGTGTATATACTGAGAATGTAGCTCTTGCAATGTCTGAAATTTTATTTTCAAAATTAATGGTAGAAATATAGTTTCTTTTTAACAACATGTTTATGAAGGTAATAAAAAAAAAATTGTACAAAGTTTTTTGTGGTTAAAATTTGTAAGAAATTAATACTTTGTTTCAATAATTATATTTGTTGGAAATTTTGCAAATTTAATACAAATTTCTATTTTAAACTAACATAATTTTATTCTACCTTGTATTTTCAATTAAATATTATTTTTACGTTTTGATTTCAGTTTAACATGTTAGTTCTATGTTAAATTTTCAATTAAACTAAAGTTTTGTGACAATTCAATTGTGGTGTCAATTAAACTATGATACCTTTAAATACTACATATTTACCTCATTTAATTATTTCAAATACTTGTACATTTACCTAATTGGTGATGCGTAAGTTATCAGACAAAATAAAAATGTCAATAACTTATTTATAAATGAAAAAAACACTATTGTTTTTTTTAAATTAAGTATTTAACTTTTATAAAAAATAAGTTATTTTTTAAATGAAAAAACACCACCATCTGCAATTGATCTCAACTTTGCTCTGACGCCTTTCATAAGCAACTGTAAAAAATTTCAGTTGATTTCTTGTAGTTTTAATTTAATTCGATCAATCAAAACTTGCTCTGTTGAAGCTTGCTAATCTCCCTTGTAAACCTTCTGTGCCAAATGTCCCCAAAAATTCAGTTGGTCGTGATTGAGGCACATATAGGGGATTGGATTCTTTATCAACATAATAGACATATTGGTTCATCCAATTTAGAGAATCTTTTGGATAACGAGGACTTGCTAAGTCTGGCCAAAATAAATAGTTAAAGTCTCTATGATACTTGTGAATGAATGGAAGTAGTTTTTCTAAACATTCATCAATATAGATTGATGAATTGATTGCTACAGCCTTGGAAGTAGAAAACAATGGCTCAGACATATTGCAATCAGATATGGCTATCCACATTAATAATTTTTTTAGAAATTTCTATTTTCCTATAAAACAAACACTTTCTAGGCATTTTTTGTTGTTGTTTATTAATTATCCAGAATTTCCAGGCACGTTGTCCCCTGCAAAACAAAAGTATTTTTTGTCATCGATGACCAGAAGCATCAATTATCATTTTGTACGCTTTTTGTGTTATAGAGTTTCGTAAATAGTTTCCTGCTTTTCTTTGTTGTTCTATGATGTATTTTAATTGTTGTTCTATAGTGTATTTTAATTGTTGTTCTATAGTGTATTTTAATTGTTGTTCTATAGTGTATTTTGGAGTCTTCATTCTTTTTTCAACTTTTCATCAAAATTAATAGTAACTGATATAACTTTTCATCAAAGTTGATAGTAACTGATATAACTTTTCATCAATCAAATTGTATACTTTTAATAGTTAAATTCTTTATTATTATTTTTTAGAGAAAAAGCTCTTAGCTTTTTTCAGCGTATGGATATTACAGGAAGATGTTTAGCTTATTCATACAGACCTGTATTTGAGGTTTACTATTATTCATTTGTTCTTGTAATTTTAATTATCTTTATTTAAGTTTTATATTTATATATCTTCTAATTTAAATGTAACCTTGTAAACTTCTTGCAATTTCTTGTATTTTGTCAATTAGCTTTGTTAAAGTTTATTGTTTGTAAGATCGTGTGTACCTGTATACCTTCAGGTTCGGGTAAAGATAATCGTGGTCACCCTACAACTGTCAACATTTGACCCAGTGCAACCTGCTTCATTTCCTGCTGAATTGTAGGATTTGCTTTTCTAGGCAAAGGGTAGAAGAAGTTAATTAGGGCTAAAAAAAAAACCTGTCTTAAAGCACTTGGTTGAGTAAAGACTAGAAATGGTGGTTTAATAAAAATAATTAAACAGGTGTTAACTTCACTATTTGTGTTTAAGTGTCACAGTTACACTATGATTGAGTCAAGTTCTTTTAAATGCACAAATTATAATACAAAAAATTATCATATAGAAAAAAAGCATAATTGCTATTTTTCCCACCTATACTGCATAAATGTTTATACTCTTAAAAGACCATTTAATTTTATTATTTATAAAGTTCAATTTGCTTTTTGCCAGACCAATGTAAATTCTATTTCCTTTGCTTCTTATTTCTTATCACTCAATTATCTTTATGTCCTTTTTTTCATTCTTTTCTCTCTTCTTTAAAACTGTACTCTTTTTGGTGTTATTTCTGATAAAATTGCCTATTCTTTTCCATGATTCTTTCACTCCTTGATCTGTGTCTCTGACCCTTGTGTGTGTTGAGTTTCTCCCTGTTCAACTTTAACCTGTTTCTCCGTGCAGCGGCCTTGTTCGTCAAGGTGTGTGTTTTGGAGTATATAGTTGTTTATAGAGTTGAGAGAGGGTTATTAATGACAAGTAACCTCCTCATCTGTAGCGGCCTTCTCGCCCTTGGGGAGGTGAATTACAAAAAAAAAAAAAAAGATAATTTTGACCATGCTATGATTTTTCTAAAGCATTCATCTCATACTTCTTAAGACCATTTCATTTCAATCTTTTACTTTGTTATTATTATTTTTATTCTGATTCGCTCCCAACAAATTTTTTTATTTGCATTCACTCCCAACTAGGCTGCAAGCAACCACTATTAAGTTGGAAGTTACTAGAAAAAAAGAATAGTTATAGAGCAAGGAAACAGTTATATGTATGTTTGTGTTCTATCTGAACCTCTGGCGCGGTGTTCGCTCACCCGTAAGTTACTTTATGTTCTTTATGTATGTCTGTGTTCTGTCTGAACCTCTGGCGCGGTGTTCGCTCACCCGTAAGTTACTTTATGTTTATGTTTATGTTTTTGATGTTTTTTTATGTATGTTTGTGTTCTGTCTGAACCTCTGGCGCGGTGTTCGCTCACCCGTAAGTTACTTTACGTTTTTTATGTATGTTTGTGTTCTGTCTGAACCTCTGGCGCGGTTTTGACTCACCCGTAAGTTGATTTATGTTTGTTTGTGTTCTGTTTATACTCTAATGCAGCGTGAGCTCAGTAACTAACTACTTACTCCAACTACAAAACGTACACTCACCTTAGACTCCTGTATTTTGTTAGATGCAGTGTTTTTCCTTATGCACTTCCAAAATGTCATGCCTGGTTTTCTCAAAGTACTGTTGCGGGAAGTAGCTCCTTTTAACTACTCCAGATCAGGTCAGGATAATCGAGATCAATCTTGCTACTGGTATCACGTAACCCAGTACCACCTGCCACAAGCCCTGCTGCCTTGCAGAGTGTGCTCTTCTTATGCAAAGGCTAGGAGAAATAAACTCCGACTAAAAATTCCCCTGTCTTGGGGCTCTTGGTTGACTAAAGGCTAGAGATGGTGTCTCGATAAAAATACTCATCTTGGGCAGATGTTAACTGCATCCTGCTACTGTCTTGTAGAAGGCCTCCTAGGCAAAGACTTTAGGGGTAAGCAGAAAAATTCTGCTAACCAGCCTCGAACCCCTTCTTCATCTATTAGGCTGGCGTAGATGTAACCTGTGTTACATTGTTTCCTGCCTAGGATGATGAATGCTGGATCTCCTTGACTCTACTCATAGAATTTTGCTTATGCCTCTATGATAATGGCTATGCAACTCTTCCTGTTATCTCCATATGAGGGTACAGCTCTAAAACTCAGTTTAATGGTTCTGAGGCCGGCTGGTAGTAAGGTTTCCCGAACTCTGTGGTAGCTCTCAGAGAGGCTGATTCCATCAACAGCTGCAAAATATCAGAGTATTAACAGTGCCATGTTGCGCATGGATGGTGTCCCTGTTAATGCTTTTGGTGTGCATTGTCAAGGCCACATAAGGAGCTCTATGTCACGGCTTAGGGTTAATTAACAGGACTGAGACAACTGCATAGCTCATTGATTAGGAGGCTGTGCTCTATCTATGAATGAGTCAAGTTCTCATTAAACCCAAATCATGACCAAAGTAACCAAAAATTTAAAACCTAAAAAACCATCCCCACCACCTAAATATTTTAATATATCTTTTACAAATATTCGCGGTCTACGAAGCAACTTTCCATCAGTTGAGTCTTACCTCCTGCAAAATTCACCAGACTTGCTTGCACTCAGTGAAACAAATTTAAGTTCTGCAATTCCTTCTTCAGATGTCAGTGTTGATGGGTACTATCCTTTGATTTGTAAAGACTCCAACAGTCACATGCTAGGTTTAGGGGTATACATACACATTAATTCCCCTATTTGTTGTGAAATCAGGTTTGAATCCTTTGACCATTCTTTTATGTGCTTTCGCCTAGCACCTCTTCACTCTATCGCCTTTCTCTTTGTTCTTTATCGTTCTCCTTCTTCCCATGATTGCACTCTTTTAGATGTTATCTCTGATCAAATTGACCATGCCCTCTCTCTTTACCCCTCTGCCAATATTGTTGTTGTTGGTGATTTTAATGCCCATCACACTGAATGGCTTGGCTCCACTGATCCTGCTGGCACTAAAGCCTTTAACTTCTGCGTTTCTCAATCTCTTACTCAAATAGTTAACTTTGTGACTCATTTTCCTGACAACCCTAATCATTTACCTTCACTCCTTGACTTATGTCTTGTCTCTGACCCTAGCTTATGTTCAGTTTCTCCCTTTTCTCCCTTAGGTGGTTCTGACCATGCAATGATCTCTATAAATCTTTCTTCTCGTACTTCTTTTTTAAGCTCACCTTATCATCGCACCACCTACTACTACCCTAAAGCTGACTGGGATTCCTTTCGTGATTTTCTTCGTGATGGTCCTTGGGCTGATGTTTTTTCTCTCTCAGCTGATAAATGTGCCTCCTACGTAACCTCCTGGATTCAGGCTGGAATGGAAGCTTTTATTCCTTCTCGTTGGTTTCAAGTCAAGCCTCATTCTACTCCATGGTTTTCTCCTTCTTGTGCGGCTGCTATATCCAATCGTAACCATTTTTTTCATCTTTTTCAAAAGAACAACTCTCTTGAGAACAAACGGCTATTTATTATTGCAAGAAATCGATGTAAAAAGGTGCTTTCTGATGCTAAACTCCATTATTCTCAGTTCACTAAATCTCGCATCTTATCGCAGAAGTTAGGCTCTAAAGACTTTTGGAAAATCTTCAACAGCATTGTTAACAAGGGTAGATCTAACATTCCATCGCTCATTCATGGGACTGATCTTGTTACCTCTCCCAGGGATAAGGCAGAACTGTTTGCAAAGAACTTTTCTTCTAATTCCACTCTTGAATCTTATGGACATTCTCTTCCTTCCATTCCAGTCAAACAGGTTGACCCATTGTTAGACATTCAAATCACTCCAGCTTCTGTTGCTAAAGTCATATCTCAAGACTGTGAAACAGGAATGTTGTCTGGACCACAAGCTGTAGACGAGTTTAAACTCGTCTACAGCTTGTGGTCCAGACAACATTCCTGTCACAGTCTTGCAGAATTGTTCTCCAGAACTTTCTTCAATTCTCTCTAAACTATTTAACAAGTGTTTGACTGAGTCTTGTTTTCCTGCTTGTTGGAAAATGGCATCTGTGGTTCCAATATTCAAAAACTCTGGAGAAAGTTCTGACCCCTCCAATTATTGTCCGATCAGTCTTCTTTCTGTTATTAACAAGGTCTTTGAGTCTTTGATCAACAAATTCCTCACATCTCATCTTGAGTCAAACAAACTGCTGTCAGACAATCAATACGGTTTTCGATCCTCTCGCTCTACGGCCGACTTGTTAACTGCTGTAACTGAAAGATTTTATCGTGCATTAGATGGAGGCGGTGAGGCTAGGGCTATTGCTCTCGACATATCTAAAGCTTTCGACAAAGTTTGGCATGCTGGTCTTCTCCATAAGCTTGCTTCATATGGTGTTTCTGGGAAAGTTTTTGAGATTATCAAATCATTTCTTTCTGACCGGTTTATTAAAGTCATCCTTGAAGGCCAACACTCTTCTTTATTTCCAGTAACTTCTGGGGTTCCCCAAGGTTCCATCCTGGGCCCTGTTTTGTTTCTTATCTACATAAACGATCTTCCTGACAACCTTTCATCTAAAGTAGCTCTTTTTGCTGATGACTCAACTTTATACTCCTGTCTTGACAAAAAGTCTTCTCTTTTCGATCGCCTAGAACAAGCAGCTGATCTTGAATCTGATCTCACTTCAGTAATAGATTGGGGTTCACAGTGGCTTGTGAATTTCAACTCTAAAAAAACCCAATTGCTTACTGCAAACAACTACCGTAATATGGTCAACATTCCTATATTAATGAATGGCAATCCTCTTACTGAGTCGTCCTCTTTACGTCTTCTTGGATTATCGCTTACTACTGACCTTTCATGGAAACCATATATACAATCGAATGCTAAATTAGCTTCTGCTAAGGTTGCTTCTCTTTATCGGTCTTGCCATTTCCTTACTTCTGATTTCATTCTCTACCTCTACAAATCTCTTATTCGTCCCTGTATGGAATACTGTTGTCATATTTGGGCTGGTTCTTCTAACGATTCACTCTCTCTTCTTGACAAGGTCCAAAAACGCATTGTAAATGTTGTTTGACCTGGACTATCTGCTAAGCTTGAACCTCTTTCCCATCGTCGTAAAGTTGCATCTCTTTCTCTTTTCTACAGATACTATCATGGTCACTGCTCAAAGGAGTTATCATCTCTAGTTCCATCAACTAAAATTCATTCTCGTTTTACTCGTCATTCAGCTAAGTCTCATTTGTTTACTGTATCTGTCCCTGCATGCTCTAAAAAAACTTTTATTCATCTAGTTTTTTTCCCCGCACTTCAATTCTTTGGAACTCTCTCCCATCTTCATGTTTTCCTGACTCATACAACCTTCAACTTTTCAAGTCTTCTGTCAACCGTTTCCTTGCTCTATAACTCTGTTCTTTTTTTTTCCTAGTAACTCCCAACTTAATAGTGGTTGCTTGCAGCCTTGTTGGGAGTGAATGCATATAAATAAAAAAAAAAAAAAAAAAAAAAAAACAGTTGATAATTCTGTCAAACTTAAAAAGTTGAAGTTTATATATAAGTCAAGAAAACATGAAAATGGGAGAAAGTTCCAAAGGGTTGAAGTGCGGGGAAAAAAACTAGATGAATAAATGTCTTGGTAGAATGCAGGGATAGATACATTAAAAGAATGAAAATTTGCTGAACGACAAATCAAACGAGAATAGTTTTAGTTAATGGAACTAGAGATAATAGCTCTTTTGAGCAGCGACCATGTTAGTATTTGTAGAAAAGAAAAAGAGATGCAATTTTATGACGATGCGAAAGAGGCACAAGCTTGGCAGATGGAGCGGGTCCAACTATGTTTACAATGCGTTTTTGGACCTTGTCTAAAAGAGAAAGAGCACCTTTAGATGAACCAGCCCAAATATGACAACAGTATTCCATACAGGGACGAATAAGAGATTTGTAGAGGTAGAGAATGGAATCAGAAGCAAGAAAATGGCGAGCTCGATAAAGAGAAGCAACCTTAGCAGATGCCAATTTAGCAATTGATTGTATATATGGTTTCCATGAAAGGTCAGTAATAAATTATAATCCAAGAAGATGTAAAGAAGAGGACTCAGTGAGAAGGTTTCTATTCATTTATATGGGAATGTTGACAGTATTGCGATAGTTATTTGCAGTAAATAACTGAGTATTGTTGGAGTTAAAATTTATAAGTCACTTTGAGCCCCAATCTGTTACAGAAGTGAGATCAGATTTAATATTGGTTACCTGTTCTATGAAATCAAAAAGAGAAGACTTTTTGTCAAGACAGGAGTATAAAGTTGAGTCATCAGCAAAACTTTCCCAGATACACCATATGAAACAAACTTATGGAGAAGACCAGCATGCCAAACTTTGTCAAAAGTCTTAGATATGTTAATAGCAATAGCCCTAGCTTCTCCACCTACATCTAATGCATAATAAAATTGCTCAGTCGCAGCAGTTAGCAAGTCAACCAGAGAACCAGAAGATCTAAAATTGTTTTTGATAAACAAATTTCTCAAATTCCATCTTTGATAAACAAATTTCTCAAATATGGAATTTGAGAAATTTGTTTATCAAAGACTCAAAGACCTTGCCAATATCAGAAAGGCTGATTGGATGATAAATGGTCAGAATGTTCTTCTGAATTTTTGAAGATTGGAATAACAGATGCCGATTTCCAGAAAGCAGGAAAACTAAACTCAGTCGAGCACTTATTAAATAGTTTGGGGAGAATTGGAGAGAGTTCTGGAGAACTTTTTTAAGACTATGACAGGAAAGTTGTCTGGATTGCAAATGGTAGAAAAATTTAATTGAGGTATGCATTTAGCAACGAAAGCTGAAGTGAAATGAATGTCTAACAATGGGCAACCTGTTTAGATGGAATGGAAGGAAGAGATTGGGTATAAGGTTCAAGAGTCAAAATTGAATTGAAAGTTTTTTGCAAATAGTTCTGTCTTATCCTTGGGAGAGGTAATAAGATCATTCCCATGAATGAGATGAAATGTTAGACCTACCTTGGTAATGATGCTGTTGAAGATTTTCCAAAAGGCTCTAGAGCCTAACTTCTGAGATAAGATTTAGTGAACTGGGAATAATGGAGCTTCAGACACCTTTTTAATTCGGTTAAAGCATCAGACATGGTGATCATTTTCACTGTGTGTTTTAAAGACAAGTCTTAAAAACATATAGGAATTACTTCTGGTCTCACAGCTAATTGGTATTTGCTGTTATTAATCACTTATAAAGATCTGCAACATCACAGTCTTAAGTGTTCTCAAGAACTATATTCATTTTTTAATACATTAGAATCTTGTTATCTCAGACTCTGAAGTCAGGGTTAACTGGATTCTACTGTATTATTGTATATTTTGATATATAATTTTTTATATTCTATTCTATATATTGTACAACTTAAGCGAATGTCTGCAATAAGCAAAGCTCTGGTTATATCAGACTTTCTGAAAAAGTCAGATTTTGAGACTTTTTGATACAAATTGACACAGATATGTTTTGGTGTTGAGTGTTTAAAAGCCACATATAACATGCTTTATTCAAATACTCACTGACTTGCATCCTCACTATTTTCACTGAAGTTTTTTTAATTTTACTTTATTTTATATTGTTTTTTTCTGTTGACTACCCAGGCAATGTTTGCTTTAGAATGCAGTATTTCTTCGATATAGATATAGATGGTTCTCCTTTGTTGATTTCTTGCAGCATTGTGTGTTTGTTAGTTTTCTTTTAGCAACCCTACAACATTTTTAATAAATAAAATTTAAATCAAAAATTAACTGAATTGATTTATCAGTGAAAAAGTTTTATTTAACTTTCGAACATTTAAAATTTAGATTTTCAATTGATGTTTTTGAATTTTTAATACAATAGAATTTGATGTTTAATAGAATTTATGTTTAATAGAATTGAAACAAATTTAGAAAAATGTTTAATAGAATTTAAATAAAGCTTAACTGTGTTGATGATATCAGTGAAAATGTTTAGTTAAATTTAATTATTATTGATGCAAAGTTATTTTATTTTCGAGCATTTAAAGTTTGGAATTTTTATTGAAGTATTGAAAGTTATGTTATTATATGAAAGTTATGTTATTATATGAAAGTTATGTTATTATATGAAAGTTATGTTATTATATGAACCTAAAAGTTTAAATGCAATTTAAAAAAAAGTCCTATTTAAGTGAAGTTTTTTTGCTGAAGGAAAAAACAGTAAAAACAGTACGAGTTAGCGAATGGTCTGGCTTAACCAGGGTATGACTTAAGCAGATTATTTTTTAGTTGGTTGACAAACAAAGATCAAGAGAAAATGAAATCTGTCTGGCTCAAAGTAAAAGTCCAACTTATCCAGAGTTCGAGTTTATAGAATTCTACTGAACTGTTTAAAAATTACTTAATGGAATCATATGCCTGCTGGAAATTGGCATCTGTTATTTTGATATTTTAAAACTTTGAAGATCATTTAGAAACTTCTAACACTTTTCTTTATTTCCAGTAATTTCTGGTATATCAAAATGTTCCATACTTGATCCTGTGTTGTTCATCCTTTATCTTGATAATCTCTCTGATAATCTTTTTTTTGCTCTTTAAAGATTATCCCTTAAAGTTTTGCTGATGATTATGTACAGTTATATACACCAGTCTTGACAATAAGTCATCACCTTTTGAAATACTACCACATCACTTTGCAATTTCTACCATGGTCACTTTCTAAAGTAGCTTTTATCACATGTTCAGCCAAAACTTGTGTAACTTGTCAGCAATGTCGCATAGTTTTATTGTAACTGTTTTTATGTTTAAAAAACTTTATTTATCTTTTTTTCCTGGAACATTGCTGTATTTCTTTTTTGTATTAATATTTTCCTGATTAATACAATTTATGGGTTTATTTAAGTTTTTGGTTTCTTATTTTGTCAACTGCTTTTTTTTATTCTGTCAACCACTTTCTTATTCTGTCAAATATTTCATTGTTCTTTGACTCTTTTCTTTGTTTGTTAACAACTTATTTAGTGCTTGCTATAGTTACTTATTTAGTGGTAGCTTGCAGCCTTGCTAGTAGTAGTTTTTTTTTTTAATTGTAACTTGCATTATAAGTTTATTTTTTATAGAGTCTTCAATTTTTTTTCAAGTTAATTTAACATGTATTAATGTGTATATTACTAAAGTTATAATTATTAATTATCATAATTGTTTTTTAGAATGTTACTGTGAATGACCATTCATTTGTTCAATTTTCTAATAAACGTTGGAATTCAGTAGAGCTGTTAGTATTTACTTTATTATTATAAAATCCTAATTTCTAGTATTTATTTGATTATTGTTTATTATTAAAATGCAGCTAAATTTTAACTTTTTAAAAAATTTGTTTAGTTTTTCAACGTGTAAATAATTAAACTAAGTAACTTTTTAACAAAGTTTTTAAATGTTTTACAATCTGAAAAAGTTGAAAAAAATGAAAAATAATTCAAATGGTTTTACCTTAAACTTGCGTGATGTTCTGGTGATTTTTGGTTGTAACTTTTTGGTTGGTGTCAATATATGATTTAAATTTTTTCTTTTTTTTATATATATAAATTTTTTTTAAACAATGATATTTGCAAACATCAAAAATATAAATTTAACCACTTAAAAAGAAATTCAACCTTTTTTCAAAAAATGCTGTTTACTAACCAATCAAAATCCAGCTTGTTGTGTTTATAGTATGAATTACTTGCTTTTGCTAGTACTTGTCACCATAGTTTCTTAATATTGATGTCATTGATAATTGTCTGAAGTTTAGTCAGCATATTCTATTGTTCATAAAGTTATGTTAAGAGCTCATCGCATTCTAAAGACATTTTGTTCATGCGATAGTTGATGGTTAAAGCCTACTGTACCTATGTCTTATGCTTGAATATTCTCATGTATGATCACTTTACATTATCTGCCAGATTTTTAGCATTGAAAAAATACAACCCTTCTTCACTTAGAGAATAGATGGTCTGTGGTCAGATATCTTATGATAAGCTACTAGCTATATTAATGCTCCATTTACTATAATTTTGTCAATTGTTTATTGATTTGGTATTTTGTTGTAAAATTTTTATTATTAAAGTCGACAATGATTTTTCAAATTTTTTTCAACTCATACTTTTTTTTCAACTTATACAGAATTGAGGTCTTTTGAACTTTATTTTAATTTTTTAATTTAATTTTGTAGTAACTTTTACAGTACCTAATTTTACTTTACTAATCACAAGTAAATGGAATAATTTACAGAAAAATGTAGTGTCTGCATCATTCGCCTGTTGTCATGTGTCTGCATCATTCGTCTTAATGTTTAAAAACCGTCTTGTTCAACTAATTTCTAATTAAATGCAACAAACTATGAATACAAAACTATATTGTTATACATTATGTTCGACACACTACATGTTTATATAACTTATTTTATGACACTTATAATGACATATTTTGTAACACCTGCATTTTATGACACTTATAATGACATATTTTGTAACACCTGCATTGTATTTTACACAGATTCAAAAGGTCTTTTTGAGAGACAGAAAATTACTGGAGTAATATTTCTTTCAAGAATTCTAATGAATGGAATATTTTTTTTTATAATATTTATAATATTACATTGAAAAACTTTTAAATATTTGTTTTTGAAGATTTGAGTTTTTACTTAAATTTTGATTTCACTTGTTTGATAGATTAATTATTGAATTGTTTATTAATAATAGTATATTTATATACTGTTAAAATTAATTACAATTTTAATTTAGATCTTGAATTTTAATTAAATCTATTTTTATAATCTGAATTTTAATTTACTTTTTAACTGTAAAAGTGAGTTATAATTTTTAATTGTGTTTTCAAGGCAAGTTTCAAACAAAGTGTACACAGACAGTGAAATGTGTGAGGTTGAAGTATGCCTTTTTTTTTTTACTTAATACTTCTTTATCAAGTGAAAAATTGTTCAAAAAATATTTTTGCAATTTTTTTATTTGTTTTTGTTATATGTATATTTTTTTCTAATTTAGACCATTCTTAAAAATATAGAATGTTTCTGTATTAAGGGTCATAAAGTACGTCACATTAAATTTATCTTTTATATTGAAGTATGACTATTTGGTCTCTTGCAGGAAGATTTTCATTAAATATAAATCACTTTTGAATTTAATTTACTTTAAATCTCTGTGTGGAAGCCAATAATATTCTACTTTAATTTTAAAGTTAAATTTAGTTTGATTTACTTAATGGATAATATCATAGTAAAATTACCTGATAAATCAAGACAAGTTAGTAATAGTTAAGCCATTTAATAAAATTCAAAGACTCACATAAGTCATACAAATGTTTCTATATGATATGTTGTTAATACATAAGCTTCTAACTAAAAATTATTTTTACAAGAAATCTCAAATAGAATATGAAAAATGCAATATCATAAATTTCTTTTATTCAAATAATCTTGAAATAATTGAAATTTGAAATTGAAATTTGAAATTTAAAATTGAAATTTGAAATTTAAAATTGAAATTTGAAATTTAAAATTGAAATTTGAAATTGAAATTTGAAATTTGAAATTGAAATTTGAAATTGAAATTTGAAATTGAAATTTGAAATTGAAATTTGAAATTGAAATTTGAAATTGAAATTTGAAATTGAAATTTGAAATTGAAATTTGAAATTGAAATTTGAAATTGAAATTTGAAATTGAAATTTGAAATTGAAATTGAAATTCAAATTTAAAATTGAAGTTTGAAATTGAAATTTGAAATTAAAAAAAGAAAAAGTTAAATTATTTAAAAGAATTTATAATATAGGAGTAAAATACAGTAACAATATAAGTGATATGATTTATACAAGTGGATAGTGCAAGTGAGGAAGAAAATTTTGTTTACATCGTAAACATTTTAAATAGTAAAATATTTTTGCTATTAAAAATGTTGTTTTTTTGTTTTTATCTTTCTTGAAAGTAGTTTTAAAAGTAGAAACATTCTACCAAAAATTAAATTATAAAAAGTTTAAATTAAAAAATATATATTATTCTACTTCTGTTCAAAAAAAAATTTTTACAAAAAAATAATTTTAGCATATGCTTAAACTTATGGAAAACATCCACTTATTAATAGACACAGCTTAATTAATAGACACAGCGATTTTTAACTTTTTTTTAGAAAAATCAATTACTTCAAGCAAGAGTATCTTTATTAGACTATAAAATTATAATGTGGAAAATTTGTCTTCTTGATTCTATCTTATTTTAATTTAATTTTTTTAAATATAATTCTTTATGAAACATAAGAGTGAGTTACATAAAATAGAGTTACAATTAATGAATTCTTAAAACTCGTATTTTCATATGTAATGAAATGTAAATAATTTATTTTTTAATTTTAATAATTTTTTAAATTATAATTGGGTCTTGCAATAATGGGTAGTTTTACATAAAAGCCATATAATTAGATGAACTTATGTAAATAAATCTTTTATAATAAAACATGATTTGAAATGTTGCAAATTATTTAGGTTTTGGTTTTAGAAAAAATTTCAGATATTTAAAAAAACATCTTTTTAACTTAAAAACTACTTTATGCAGAAAAAATGAAGCACTGGAATGTTTTAATTTTATGATGATTTATGCAGAAAAAATAAATAAACTACTGGAATGTTTTACTTTTATGATAATTTAAGCAGAAAAATTAATAAACAACTGGAATGTTTTAGTTTTATGATAATTTATGCAGAAAAAATAAATAAACCACTGGAATGTTTTAGTTTTATGATGATTTATGTTTTAATTTATTAATTAGAACTGTTTATTTATTTTATTTTAAAAGAATTTAATGTTGTTAATGTTATACAACAGTAGAAAACAGTAACTGTATAAAACAGCAATTAAACAATGTCACGAAATTGTTATATATTAACACTAGCTCTTTTTATTAACAATACAACTTTACAACATAGTATTGTTTTACTGTTGTTTTATAGCTTTTTACATTAACAATTTAATATGTTTTAAAAAATAAAACGTTTTATTAAATAGTTTTCTGAAACTAATTAATGTAATAATGTAGTATTTGCCTTTTTTACTTTTATTTTTTTAAGTATCATGTTTAGTAAAAACAATTGCTTAAAGTAATACTTATTATTAATAATAGAATTACTTCAAGCAATTGTTAGCAATAATAAAGTTTCTTTCTCATTACACTAACTGTAGCTTATACTTTAAATTATAACTTAAGCTGTAAATTATAATGGTAACTTATGCTATTTTAAACCCTGACAAATAAGAATATCATAAGATGATATTTAAATATAAAAGATTTTATGTAAAAAAAATAACAATTATGAACTAATATACAAAAGATACAACTTACACTAACACAGCCACCCTTATCGCAAAGCGGTGCCAGGGATGTGGGAAGAGGTGAGGGGGTGATTTCATAAAAAAGAAATTTTTTCGCATTTTTATTTTTTTTGCATAAATTCAAGTCCTGTATTATAAATGTTAGAGTACATTAAAAAAATTTGAAATCTTGATTAACTTTTACATAGTAGTATAAAGTTATTACATAATAGTATTATGTTATTACATAGTAGTTTAAAGTTTTCTAATGGTATTGAAGATGAAATTGCATAAAAATGAAATTAAATGTTTAAATATTGGTAAATAGTTTAGAACTAAAATAGCAGACTTATCATCAACTGATGATTTGATAGTTATGTCTGCAGTTACTGTTCATTGGGTGATCATCATTAAGTGAGAAATAAAGTTTGTTAAACTATTGTATTCGATCTAGTATCTTTTCTTTCTCCTAACTGCTTTTTTGAAATTTTAAACTCAGAATCACTTTTTACTTCAGAGATACATAACCATTAGAGCAACTAGGTCCTTCAGTCATTGCTATAACCAACCAACTGAACTTCTTCATCGTTCATTTTTCTTCTCTTTTCATTATCAGTTGTCTTCTGGTGTCTAGCACATTATCTTTTACAGGACCATATTAGATCTTTGTTAAATTTATTATTATTATTGTCAAATGATATGATTTTACAAATAAAATAATTAGGCGTAATTGATAAGCCTATCAACCTTTTGTTTACTTGGCATGTACTTGTATCGGTCTAATTGTTTATATGTACTTGTACATGTGTTGTTCACAATAAGCATCTATTTATTTTTTTAATGCTGCAGAACATATTATATCAGATGATAGACAAATTATGATTTGCATACTTGCATGTCTGTCTTTTTCAATTTATAAGTGTGCATACGGTTGTTTATGGAGCAGTACTAAATTTACATTTAATGAGGATATCAAAGGGTTGTAACTATATTTATAAAGGTTGTGAATCCATTTGTAAGTTTCTAGGATGTCATAACATAAGAAACAATAGTTCATGTTACTTAAATTTAGTCTCAGTAATCTCTATTTGTAAGTGAAACCAAGCAGGCCAAAAATAGCTTTACTTTTAAATAGTCTACCCTTTCTGAATTTCCTAAAGGTATATGCACCTTCTCACTACCATGTTTTAGCTTTGTCTGAATTCTAGACTTTTCTGCATAACTGTTGTACAAGATCCTGTCAAAGTTTTTGTAGAATATAAGTAAAATTTATTTCTTATTTTATATAAATTTACATTATAAGTCATATAAAATGTAAGCTTAAATTAATTGTTAATATAGATTTGTTTAATGTAATTTAAATGTAATTTAAATTAATTGTTAATATAGATTTGTTTTTACTTTTAAAATAAAAAATTCCTACTTGTAAAATTTTGTTTTATTTGTAAATTTAATTTACATTTGGTAACATATTACTTTTATGTAATTTAATTTTTTAGGCAAATTATTTTTTAATATATTTTAATTTAATTAGTTACTTTTATAGGTAAATGTAAATTACAGTTTGAGGAACTTTTATATTATGTAATGTAATTTTCAAAAGTAATTAATTTTTAAATGTAAAAGTAAACAGTTTTTTCTTGTGACTTTTTTTTTTTTTTTTAATTTTACTTCACCTCCTCAAGGCCGAGAAGGCCACTACAAACGAGGAGGCTACTTATGTTGTGGCTATAACCCTCTCTCAACTCTATAACTCCGAAACACAAACCTTGTTGAACAAGGCCGCTGCGCGGAGAAACGAGTTGAGCGCGGTACTACCAGGGACGTGGTGGGGATCGAACTCGGAACCACTCGTTTATGAAGCGAGCGCTCTACCACTACACCACTACCGCATATAAACTTACTTTTCCATGTAAAAGTAAATTACTTTTTGATGCAATCTTCTTTTACATAATTTATTTTTGAAAGTAAAAAAACTTACATTATAAAGTAAAAGTCATTTTAAAAAAATAAATTACTTATATGGAAATATAAATTTGCATTAAACGTTTAAAATTACTTATGTGATTTCCTTTTTATAAAAATTAATTATATTATTACTCTTATAAGTAAAAAAAAAGTAAAAGAGCCATCCCTAATAAAAAGTTTTAATGTTAAAAAATGTAAAGTTATGCAGCTAGGACCAGCAAATGCAAAAGTTTGTTTCATTTTGCAGGTTATTGCATGATGAGCAATATTGCTATCAGAAAGTAATTTGTATAACTTATGGTTAAGTATGGATTACAACAGCTGAAACCATATCAGGAAATAATTGATATATATCAAGAACAAAATTGGGTCAAGAACTGAATCCTGGGGGACTCCTAGTTACTTTTATCCATTCTGATTATGTACCACTAATATTAATACTCTGCCAAGAACCTCTTAAGTAACATTCTATTTAATTGTAGAGTTAGTCATCTATTCCATTTTTCTTTTAGTTTTAGAAGTATGTGACAATTGTCAAATATGTCATTATTTTGATCAGACGATTGATAAAAATAATAAATAATTATGTTATTATTATATGTTAATAGTAAAGCAAGCATATGTTGTTTTTTTATAAACATCTTTTTTTTTTTTTAATTTGATTTTTTTGAAAAAATATGATAGGCATAATGAACTCTAAATTACGTTTTTGAGCACAATTCTACAAAAACAGGAATTCCTAAATGTGCTTATTTAGTGGGTTAAAACCACTTTGGAAAGTTATTGTTTTGTAAAAAAATCTGTATCTGTACATAGAGATATTTGTGAACCTCTTGAAAAAAACATAGAGATATTTGTGAACCTCTTAAAGCTTTTTGCATACCCTGATTCAAAAAATTAATATGCTTGTATAAAAAGAAATATATATCTTTGTTATATTTAATGCAGGTAATCTGCGGTGCTTGAACTAGACTGAGCAATGAAAGCACACAGAGAAATATGAAATAACTTGAAAAAACCTTATAAAATAGGATAAATAGTAATAAAAAGAAAGAAAAACGAACAGATGTTCAGAATAAACACATTTATGAAGAAAAAACGCAAATCTTAGTCAACAGAAATTTAATTTTATAGTATACTTTAGTGTAATTATAATTTATGTAGTGGTAGTGTAATAAACTTCTCAGAATCGTGTAAATTATTTCCGGTGTTTTGAAGAGGCTTAGCACCTATACCTAATTTATCCCATCAGATAAACATCAAATTATGCCTCACTCCCCCATTTACACCTACTCCATACTACGGTAAAGAAAGAACTTCACTACAAACAGCCAAAACCTAACTTCATCCACATTTGTAAAGCACTAATATTTTTGAAGAAATAATAAGGATAGTGAGAAATTTGAATTCAAAACCAAATAATATAGCATATTTAAAATAAATTAATATATATATATATGTATATATATATATATATATATATATATATATATATATATATATATATATATATATATATATATATATATATATATATATATATATATATATATATATATATATATATATATATATATATATATAGAGAGAGAGAGAGAGAGAGAGAGAGAGAGAGAGAGAGAGAGAGAGAGAGAGAGAAAATAAAATAAAATATAAATAAAAAATTTTAACAAAAATGACAACAAATAGTAGACTAAAATGTAATCAAAAATATAGGTTTATAAAAATTGTTATATTCTAATAGAAAACCACAAAATACTCAACTACACTACCAAAATGTGATAAATGATGTTAGATAAAACTTTATTATAAACACAGCAAGTTGTTAAAACTTATTGGATAAATAAACTCAAACCGATAAGATATAGAAATATATATAAATTTATAAAAACAACAAAACCATACAAAGTTTAATGCAGCCATAGATACCTAGATCGAATGTTGCTAACCAATCAAAAAAACAGGTTCTAAATAAAATATAGTAACAAGGACAAAAACAGTAAATGAAACCACTACAACGTCAAACATCAAAAGCTATGCGGCTGTGGCGCAGTGGTTAGAGCGCCTGCTTTATAAGCAGGAGATCCAGGTTCAAAACGAGCTCTGGATATATTTTTGCGACTCGGTAAGGAAGGAGGCGTGAACTTCTTGGTTAAATGCACTTCCGCGGTGCTCTGTGACAAGACCATTAAGTCTTCTTGGGGCACCTAAAAATAATAACAAAAAAAAAATGTTGGGCGAGAAAATATGTATGTATAAATAATGACAACCTAAAAACTAATTTTTTTACATACATATGTACATACATTCACTTACATATATACATACATACATAGTTTAATAATATATAATATGTAATATATACATAGTTTTTTTCAAACTATGTATGCATTACATATACACATAGTTTGTCGAAGTATTGAATGTTCCTGTACAATAATATATCCAGTCAAGTATTACAGTAAATCAGCTTAAAAATTTTTTATCCCTAAACCATATCTAGCAAGGGGCGAATTAAGTGATCGCGAATTTAAAATTCCTTAAAAATTTCTGGTCTTCAAACTTTGTTTTTCTTGAAAACCATTTTTGCGCGTTTTTTTTGGACCATTTATAACAGTTTTACAAGTTGTTGATTTTAGAAATTCATGCTTGTAAACGTTTCTGAAGTTTTGTAATTTTATTAGATTCAATTAAATTTTGGGATTTATTTTGATTATTTTTTAGTTATGTTTATAATTATGTTTATAAACTAAAATATGTAAATTATAAAAATATTATGTTAAGATTAACTATTATAAAATAATTTATAATTATAAGTAACAAAGTTTTTCTTGACTTTTTTATTATAGATTATTCATATTATTATTTATTTATGTAATTTACAACACATATACTAATTCCTGTTCGAGTGTAGCAATATCACAACTCCTATTACTTAAATTGAATATTATCTCGACGTAATAAAATCATCTCTGAACGGATGTAATCTGTAAAAATATCAGCAGCTCGATTAGTTGAGTAACTATAACCAAGATCAACACTGTTTTTTTTAATTAGCTCAACCTAATCAGGGAAATCAGAAAATAGGCGTTCTTTTTTTGCCAAGTAGTAAACTGTATTTCTTCTTGAGTGAGTCACAATATTTTTGACCCATTTCTCGTAGGTTTTTTTTAATATCAGTGTTTTTATTTATATATTCTCTAAAACCTTCTGCAACTGATTTACTCCGATAATCGATTAGATGTGCTTCCTTATGTTGTTTACTGTTGCAATGACTTCTTAAGCTGTCTTTTTTAATCGACGGAGTTCCAGGGCAAATCAACGAAATAGAAACTTTTTTCATTTTTTTGATACAAGATTCATACTGCTTACAAAGCAAGCAGCATAATCTTACAACATCATTTCCCTCGATATCATACTCAAACTTTAAATTAAATTATTTTTCCCATTTAAAAACAGTTTCTAATTTACAATGGTTATCTTTAGTTTTGGTAAGAAAAATCATAATATTTAGTTTACTTTATCTACTACGCTTTCAATTTAATATATTTTAAACTCTTGATTTTAAAATCAGGGGTATATTGTCCCGGTATCCGGTTATGTTTAAGGGCCCGTAAGAAAAAATAGAGAGAGAAGAAAAAAATTGAGCCAATTTGGCGTTACATGATGCGTATTTTTAGCCAAGGTAGAACCCGCAAAAAGCTCCCTCAACTCGCCCCGCCCCCCTTTCCCTCTTTTTTTTGAGCCACCATGGCAACCCATAATTTTATTCCTAAAATAACTAATTTTTTGGAGTATTTATTTTTTATTATTACCGAGTTTGGAAACTAAAGTTAAATGTTGCTAAATGAGTCGGATTCTAACAGTGGTAAAAACAAGTGACGCATTTAAAAATTATTACCTGAAGACGTTATTAAGTCTATATTATTTATAAAAATAATTACCCCAAGACCAAGAAGTAATAGATAATACAAGGGTTACTCTAGCTAGATTAACAGCTGTTTTATAAAAGTATTATTTTAAACATGTAAGTTATGAGAGTCTTAATGAAATTAGCTATAGTTGATTTTTTAGATCCAGAATTTTTTTCTGAATTTTCAATTTGCGATCACTTAATTCGCCCCTTGCTTCAAATTACCCATGATAGATTTAATATCCATACATAGGATTTATATTATCTTCTGGTTCTAAAAGCTAGCTCAGACATGTTCCAGAAATAAACACATTCTTTTGTGGAAACAGCAATTATGTATGTAATCGTAGTTCTGTTGCTTAGGTACACACAAAAAAAAAATTAATTAAGGAAGCACACATAAAAGTAATAATATATATATAAAATATAAAAAATGAGATCAAACAAAGACATTTAATTATGACAGTTCAAAAATAGTTTTGCCACTTGTTTGAGACTAATTTTGCCTGAGGGTGTTTTGATGTTGTGCATATCTATGTACCGTTAAAGCAAAACTAACAAAATAGGAAATTTAAATAAATTTAAATTAAAAAAATTAATAATTAAAATAATTTGTGTACTGTGTTTATTTTTGTTTCTTTATTTTCAGCAACAAAATTGGATAAGACAAAGCAAAAAAAAAGTTTTAAGTTGGCATTAAAAAGAAAGATTTTCCCAATTTTTATTTGTTTTTGTTTTCTAAAGAGGCGAAAATATAAATTATTTGTTTTTAAAAAAGCAAAAATCTAAATTGCTATCTGTTTGTAAAATATATTTGTATAAATTTAATGTAACAAGTATAAATTGTCCCTATATAGAAATGTCTATGTAATGCATGCATTGACTTTTTTTTATAACTTTTTTTATTGCATATTTATAATTATTATTATTATTATTTTTTTTTTTTTTTGCTTTGCCTTTTCCAATTTTGTTGCTGAAAATATCAACCACTCTAAAGAAACAAAAATAAAAACAGTAAAGAACTTATTTAAATTGTTAATTTTTTTTTTATGTTTTCCATTTAATTTTATTTAAATTTCCTTTTTTGTTAGTTTTGCTTTCTTTGTTTTTGAAACATGCAAACAGCCATAACCAATTTGTCTAAAATAAAATACTCACGTGTGGCCATACAAGACAAAAAACCACACCCGTTTATTGAGAAGGTTTGCTGTTTAGTCATAGTTTTTGTATTTTTTAAAAAGCAATTTAACTTAATGTATTGCAACTATTTTATTGTTTTAACAATTAAAAGTTACTATGTATGTATGTATGTATGTATGTATGTATGTATGTATGTATGTATGTATGTATGTATGTATGTATGTATGTATGTATATGTGTGTGTTCACACACACATACTATATTTATATAATTACCCTTAACTTTTAGTCTAGTCAATATGTTTACAATAAAAAGATTTTTAAACAAAAGTTTTGTTGTGCATCATAAGTTGTTTAATTATTTTATTGGTTGTTATAATTTAGATTAAAAGTGTTCAGGAAGATCTATGCTGCGAGGATTTACTTAAGAAGCCTGTTTTTAACAGTTCTACATGGTGCATTTTAATTTTTTTTATTTGTTATGTAAATATGCAAAAAAAATTTAAATATTTAATTCATCAATTCAATGCTTCAGAGTATACGACAGCAGCGGAGGAAGCTACTCATATATATATATATATATACATATATATATATATATATATATATATATATATATATATATATATATATATATATATATATATATATATATATATATATATGTATATGTATATATATATATGTTAACTTAGTAGAAACACATATCTATTTTTTTTTTACCTTTATCTACTTGTTTCTTCATCAGTAGATTCATCAGGAAGCCTTGCTGATGAACCTACTGATGGAGAAACAAGTTGTTAAAGAAAAAAATTAGATAAGTGTTTTTACTAATTTATATATATATATATATATATATATATATATATATATATATATATATATATATATATATATATATATATATATATATATAAATGCATTTTATATATATATATATATACATATATATAAATGCATTTTATATATATATATACATACATATATATATATATATATATATATATATATATATATATATATATATATATATATATATATATATATATATCTATATCTATATATATATATATATATATACACATACATATATGTATATATATGTATGTATATATATATAATGTATATATATGCATATATATAAATATATATATATATGTATGTATATATATATAATGTATATATATGCATATATATAAATATATATATATATGTATGTATATATATATAATGTATATATATGCATATATATAAATATATATATATAATGTATGTATATATATATGTATATATATATATATATATATATATATATATATATATATATATATATATATATATATATATATATATGTATATATACTTTAAAAATTAAATTATAACACCTGGTAGTTAAAGAAACATGACTCCGAGTTTCACACCTATGGCAATCATCAGATATTACAAATAATCTCAACAACAAAAAAAATTAATTACAAAATACTATGCAGTGTCCGCTTTGATGACGTTAAAGTTGTTTATAATGTTTTCATGACGACATTTTGATACCAGCTCATTTCTTTTGTATAATAATTTAATTTTTGATGTTATTATGTGATACTTTTCAGTTAGGCAAAGGTTGCATAATTTTCCCCCTGGTTTAAACGATTGCGCTTTGTCAATAATTTTCCGTGTAATAATAGGATTTGTATATCCCTTTTTTTAAATTTCCCACATAGACTTGGAAACCTCTGTTGAACTTGCTTTGCTTTCATATTGGAATGAGTTTTTATGCTTGTACCAACGGTCTTTAAAAGTATTCTATGTTAGTCCAATAAAATTGAATCCACTATCTTGTGGTGAAGTTTTTACGTTACAGCAGTATACTATATTTTTTTGGAGGCATTTTTCTTCCAAAGGATATTGTGAAGCTTGTCGACAGTTGCATTGTTGGTTGGTTGAGGTGTTGGTACCAGATAAAAAAATTTTATTGTGAGTTTCATGTTATTTCATTATATGATCTATAAACTCAAGCAAAATCTTTACATGGACAAAAAAAGTTTATCGCAAAAAAATATCAAAGCAAAATTGTATGTGAGATAAATTAAGGGAAAGCGGAATAGTATCGAAAATTAACTGATCGAAAAAATGATTAGTATCGAAAAATAACTGACCGAAACTCATTTTAATGATTAAGATCGAAAATGTGATTTTCAGATTAATATCGAAATGTTTTTATATCAAAATTCACAAATGTGGAACAATATCGAAAACAATAAAAACGGAATATGATCGAAAAATTATTTAACTGATTAACATCGAAAATGTGTTTTTCTGATTAATATCAAAAAAAATTTTAATGGAATATATCAAATGTGGAACAAAATTGAAAACAATAAAAAAGGAATAAGATAGAAAACTCATTTTAATGATTAACATCAAAGATGTGATTTTCTGATAAATGTCGAAAATAATAAAAACGGAATAAGATCAAAAATTCATTTTAAGGATTAACATCGAAAACCTGATTTTCTGATTAATGTCAAAAACAATAAAAACAGAACAAGATCCAAAACTCATTTTAATGATTAACATCAAAAATGTGATTTCGATTTTATTCCTTTTTTCACAGTTTCGATATAATTCCAGAAATTCCCGTTTCGATATTGTTCCTTTTTTCACAATTTCGATGTAATTCCGTTTTTTGAATTTTCAATACTATTCTTTTATTCACAATTTCAATATTATTCCGATGAGTCCCTTTTCAATATTTTTCTCTTTTGAGCTGTTTCAAGATTATTTTACTTTTCGGATTTTCGATACTATTCCTTTTTTAACAATTTCGATATATTCTCTTTTTCGATATTATTCCGAAAAATCTCTTTTTGATATTATTCTTTTTTTCACAATTTCGAGATTATTCTTTTTTTCGGATTTTCGATACAACTCCTTTTTTTACAATTTCGATGTTATTCTCTATTTCGATGTTATTCTGGAAATTCCCTTTTCGAGATTAATTAGTTAGCTGTTTTCGATACTGTTTTCGATACTACCCCAAAATAAGTTAGGATTTCCGACAAAAATTACAAATTTAAATACTTAAAATAATAGTGAAAACTAAGTGTAGGGAATAGAGACCACAAGTAATCTATAGTTCGATCTATAAATGATCTACAGTTTTACCTACAACATCTAGAAAATTGGTTTCACCTTACAGTATTTATTCTTGCAAACTACATATCATTTTTTTTACAAAAATATGTAAATATGAAATATAAAATATGATGAAAACACAAAAAGCTTAGAAGATGAGGAATTTTACTCAAAAAAAAAAAAAAAGATTGCCTGCCCTTATTTCTGAGTTAAAAAGACGCTAACTAAATCATTTACTGAAGTTTCCGATCGCTTACACTTTAGCATTAGAGGCGCAATGGCTATTGAAGCAAAAATAGTTAAAGCTGTTGGCGCTCCCCTTGAGCAGTTTGCTATTCTTGCAAAATTGAATGTTCATCGTCAACAAAATAAAAGAACGAGAAAGTAAGTTTTATCAATTAAAATCCAATTATGAATGCAACTGTCCACTTCATCCATGCGGTATCTGGGATAGCAAACTTGTTTTGTCGTTTAGCGGTAAAACTATTCAGACATTGCTTTATTAAAAATAATTTTAAAAAACTGACAGTGAAATCTTGAAAAATGTTGAAAAGTAGGCGCAAAACTACAATTTACTAATATTAGGTAACTGTGCTACCCCTAAATAATGTTTGATTGTCTTAAAATGTCCTGCTGCCTTGTAGGATACGCTTTTTTAGGCAAAGGCTAGGAGAAGTTAACTCCGAATTAAAACACCCCCTGCCTTGGGGCTCTTGGTTGAGTAAAGGCTAAAGATGGTGTCTCGATAAAAATACTCATCTTGGGCAGATGTTACATGCATCCAGCTGCTGTCTTGTAGAAGGCCTCCTAGGCAAAGACTTAAGGGGTAAACAGATTCTATCTGTTGACCAGCCTCGCACCCCTTCCTCATCTATTAGGCTGGCGCAGATGTATTTTTAATACATTGTTTCCAGTTTAGGATGTTGAACGCTGGATCTTCTTCTTGACTCAATGCGTGGGTATTGCTTGTGTCTCTATTTTTATGACTGGGCAACTCATTCTATTATCTCCTAATGAGGGTACAGCTCTAAAACTCAGTTTTATGGTTCTGAGGCCGGCTGGTAGTCAGGTTTCCCGAACTCTGTGGTAGCTCTCAGAGAGGCTGATTCCATCAACAGCCGAAAAATATCAGAGTACTAACAGTGCCATGTTGCGCATGGATGGTGTCCCTGTTTGTACTTTTGGTGTGCATTGCAGAGGCCACATTTGGAGCCCTTTGTTACGGCTTAGGGTTTATTAATAAGAATGAGGCTATTGCTTAGTTGTTAAATAGTGTACTGAGTACTATCTATACTTGAGTCAAGTTCTTTATAAATTTAAAATGACTAAAGTACCTAAAACTAAAAAACACAAAAAACCATTGTCATCACCAAGTTCTCTAAACCTATCATTTACTAATATTCGTGGTCTTCGAAGTAACTTTTCTTCTGTTGAGTCTTATCTCTTGCAAAGTTCACCAGACCTACTTGCTCTTTGTGAGACTAATTTGAGTTCGGCTGTCCCATCTTGTGATCTTAGTGTTGATGGTTATCTTCCTTTAATTCGTAAAGACTCCAATAATCACATGCTTGGCCTGGGCATCTACATTCGTAAGAACTCACCCATTTGTCGTGAAACTAGGTTTGAATCTACAGACTATTCATTTATGTGCTTTCGTTTAGCACAACTTCACTCTATCGCCTTTCTCTTTGTTCTATATCGCTCTCCTTCATCCCAAGACTGCACTATTCTTGATGTTATTTCTGATCAAATTGACCAAGCCCTCTCTCTTTATCCATCGGCCAATATCGTCGTTGTTGGTGACTTTAATGCCCATCACACCGATTGGCTTGGCTCTAGTGTCAGTGACTCTGCTGGCGTTAAGGCCCTCAACTTTTGCCTTTCTCAATCTCTAACTCAAATAGTCAACTTTCCAACTCGTTTTCCAGACAACCCTAATCATTTACCTTCTCTACTCGACTTATGTCTTGTTTTGGATCCTAGTCAGTGCTCAATTTCTCCACATTCACCCTTAGGTACTTCTGATCACGGTTTGATCTCTCTAAAACTATTATCAAATTCTTCTACTTCATCAGAATCCCCCTATCATCGTACCACATACAACTACCTTAAAGCTGACTGGGACTCTTTCCGTGATTTTCTTCGTGATGGCCCTTGGGTAGAAATCTTTCGTCTTCCTGCTGACAAATGTGCTTCTTACATAACTTCGTGGATTCAGGCTGGCATGGAATCTTTTATTCCCTCTCGACGATTCCAGGTCAAACCTCACTCTTCTCCTTGGTTTTCCTCACATTGCGCTGCAGCAATTTCTAATCGAAACCGT